CACCTCTCCAAATCAAATAATCCCCCCCGATAGAGTCGCTCGGCAAAGCTGCTGCCAATCACTAGGTGTCAAATTAAGAGACGCAAAAGATTCCATTAAGGAAAGTGTAAAGGGAGCCTGTGCTCCATAATTTAAAGTTGCCTCTTTAAGTTGTTTTATATCCTTAAAATTTAAAGGGTTATGATGCCGAATGACCTGTCCAGAATTGTTCGGGTCTGGAACTTCCATTACTGGGGCCACCACCGGGCAGCATTGGACCCCTCCTCTGGGTCTTCCCTCCAGGTCTGAGAAGGACTGGGTTATCTCATATGAGGAGTCCCTTTTTTCAGAGTATGGGGAAGGGTTTCTCTCCCTGTCCTGTCTTTCCTTAATTCGAATATTTTTTAGTTCTTTTTTAAGGGCCGCGATCTCAGCAAGTAACCGTTCCTTTTCAGACTGTGACAAGTCTGAGTCTGAGCTACTTCCATTTTCTAGGTCTGATAGAGAAGGATATAACCGATTCTGACCGGAGTCCTTCTGTTTGGGTCGTGCCCGGAGATCTCTACCCATTTTTTTGTTGTTACTAAGAGACTCCTCCTCATCCTCACTAACAATGGAGCCTCTAGTTTCAGTCAGGGTCCCTTCAGATGATTCATCATCACTCTCTGTCCCTGAACTCAAGGAGGCTTGAGTTTCAGTCTCTTGTAATCAACAAACAAACAAAAATAGGTCTTGTATCTGGTAACTCCCTTTTCTCCTCATTTCATGTTTGAGCTTGGAAAGCGGGGAACAGGGTGGAGAGATATGTCTCTGTGAGGAGTCATAAGTCTTTCTTTGCAACCTCTAGTATTTTGTGTTGTGGAAAAATGACACATTAGCCCAAATTTTGACAGGCTTCCCTTAGGCTGGTTCTTGTAGCCAGCCGCTGCTGGTAGCAGCAGAGTTGTAGCTTCTAGGTAGGATAGCGGTAGCTTAAAAGGCAGCAACAATAAAAAAAAAAAAAACAGTTATGAGATGAATGCCATTGTCCTCTGGATAGCCACTGATAAGAGCCTGCTTCCCAGTAGATGAGTCATGCTCATGAAAGCAACCATAATTAAATTCAGTGAATGAGAAAAGGCATCCAAGGTTCTGAAAATATATGCTAATAGACTCATCCTATTTTATAATTTTGCCTTACAAACTTAAGTTTGCACTCTACCATGTTTACAGTAGAAGGCAGGGATGTCATTCCTCATTTTCTGACGGGATAACCAGTCTTTCTGGTGGTGTTTAATAGCAAATCATCTGATCCCACCCACTCCTGCACACTGCCCATTCACTCATCTATAGTAGCTGATACTTCCTACTTAGTTCTTTTACACACACACACACACACACACACACACACACACACACACACACACACACCTCCTACATTTTATACCAGATCTACATTTACTTACATTTACCCACCTTTTCAATTGTTTAGTTTTTGCTATACTTTTATTATTCTGTGTTGAAATAAACTTCTTGCTAAAAAGTTCCCTATCTGCATGTATGCCTTTATGCCAAAAGAGGGCATCAGACCCCCATGTGGTTGCTGGGAACTGAACTCAGGTCCTCTGGAAGAGCAGACAGTGCTCTTAACCTCAAAAAAAAAATCTCAAATTTTCCGATTATTCTAGATTACCTTTACTTTCGAGCAATGCTTTGCTAAATAGATGGGATTCAGTATCTTCAGTGCACTACTTTATTTTCAGTCTCTCATTATTGGATGTGAGGAGAGAGAAGGAGGAAGTGGGAGAGTAAGCATGTACACGTGCCACGGCACATATATGGCGGCGGCCGACCACTCTGGGGAGTCAGTTTTCTCATTTGACTGTGTGGGTGCCGGGGATCTAGCTCTGGAGCCCATCTTGATAGCAGAGGTTGGGAAGAAATGCCGTACGACAGCGGAGCCACCGTGACTGCTGGTGACATTTATTGACTTTGTGTTTCTGTTGGTGAATTACTTTGTCCTTGTTTTGTAGACAATGATATCATCTGAAAGCAATTTTATTCTTAATCTTTATACATCTTAAACATCTACTCTTACTGCTTTGGGGTATTACTGTGCTATCAGGATACAATTTAAGGCACTCAACACTGATAGTGGGTGGAAGACAGGGCAAAAAGTCCAGCAGGTCTGCTATGAAGCCACGCCCATGAAACCTCCGCAGTATGGTTGCCTAAACAAGACTTTAGTGATAACATCAGTTGGCATACCAACATAAACGGAACTCGAACAAGGCCCCACCTCCAGATGAAGAGCTATAGGCAACTGATGGCTGTTGAGAGAGGGAGAACCCGTCTTCCCAGGGATGACTCCTCCCTGGTCACTCAGTCCCAAGTGGTCAGTCCTAAAAACATAGACATAAGAGCAACACTAAGTGCTAAATGGGCTCATCAGGTTTCATTTCTTTATTAATTACGTGTGTGCAACAATAATAATTAAAGAAAAGGAGACCAAGTATTTGAATGGGGTGGGAGGCACAGGGTGATTGGAAATAGGAAGTTATGTAAACACAGCATATGAATATGAAATAAAAAAATAAATGAATGGAACTCCCTTGTGGGTCCTGATCTAAGGGGGATACCCTCAGTATTTCAGTATTACGTAAACTGTTGCTGTAGGTTCTGGTCAATGTCCTTCATCATACTAGAGAAATTCACTTTTCCTATTTTACAAAGAAGTTTTGTCGTAAATGCAAGGTGAGTGTTTCTGAAAACACCTTGTGTCTATACTATGTAATGCTTTCTTTTGCACTGTAATGTAATTTAATAATTTACATATTAATTTGGAATATTCAACTGATGTTTCACTTATTACATAATTAACATTTGGTCATGAACTGCTTTTAAAAATCACTGCCAAATTTATTACTAATCTTTTGCATAGACTTTTTGCGTCTATATTTATAATTGGGTTTGGCTTTTTCTGTGCTATACCAGTCCACTGAAGAAATAAAGGTTAAAGTGAAGTGATTTCTTCCCCTTTCCTATTGCATGGAACAATTTGCAAGGTACGTGCATCTTGGATATCTGGTTGCATATACTTGTACCAGCCAGGGTTCATACAGGAAGCAAATCACAGGGTATTATATAATGGGTAATTTATTATAGAAATTAAATCCTACATAATTGCAAGGGGAGTTAGGAAAATCAGGTTTAGAAGGAGGATTTGAAGATCAGAGCACAGACGCCCATCAGGTCTTGTGAAGCAATGGGAAACGTGTACAAGTTAGAGCTGTAGGGGAAACCACAGGACCAGGGTTCCACCCTCCTCCCCGCCCCCAGTGGGGGCACGGGTAGTAGAGTTGGTGGGCGGTTTGTGGAAGGCTGATGCCTCTGGGTGTGGCGGCAGGCCTGAGCTGGCTCACTCTCATTAGGATTTATAGAAGAGATAAGCACCAAGCAAAGGACATGCGGCTGATCTACAGCCTGGCAGCAGTCACATGAGGAGTGAGGAGTGACCAGCTGTGGACAGATGTGTACAGGATGAGAGCTTCGCCACCCGACCCTGTACAACACTGCTGGGGGTAAGCATGGCGTTCCCCTTGTCCCCAGCGCGGGGCCTCTCACAGGTGAAACCCAGTCAGTGTCTCAACAGGAAGAGTGCTCTGCTTCAGGCATGTCTGGACTGAAGAGCTTGGAAGTGAACAGAGGGGGTTTCTTGAGTAAAGATAGAAAAAAGAAAAAGAAACACAACAAAGCATAAAATCTTGCTAATTAGCTTGGCAGGAGACTTTTTAATTCTCTTGGCTGTTTTGCTTATTTGTGTGTGTGTGTGTGTGTGTGTGTGTGTGCGCGCGCGTGCGTGCACGCAGGATTCTTATTATATTTGGTGCTACTATCACATTTTCAGCAATCACACAATTATCATACATTCATATAACCGGTCAGTGGGGCCTTTGTAAGGTGCTGCAGCGGGCAGGAAGTTCCTTTCATGTGGGGTAAGTGACAGCAGAGAATGGCCACCAGGCACTGTGTACATCAGGACCATGAGCGTTAGGAAATACAAAATACAAATCAAACATCTTGGATGCAAATGTTTCTGAATTATGTATTGTCAAACAAATGAGAACATGACTCCTGGCCACGTGAGGCTGGAGGAAGGGAAGGCAGACCCAGGGGGCTCACTAAAAGAACACACAGCACCCGTCTGTTTTAACCCAACCAGAGACGGCTAGTGTGGCCTGCATAAGCACTTACAACGTCCTGATTTCCAAGGTTTCCTCATCAGCTCAAAGAAATCGGGAATTTTCTGATTCAAACACAATGATATGGTTTTTGGGGGCTGGGGCTATGGTCTCATATTCCATTGGCTATTTTGAGATTCTAAAATGGGTGTGTTCAGATACACAAATAGAATCCAGTTAGTTAAGGCTTCAAAACTGTTAACTTGGCGAGGATAAAAAGAAATATGAGGAGGGGCTATGTCTGTTATTATTCTGAGGTCAGTCCAGAAATAAAAGAAAGGTTTTGCTGGGCAATGGTGGTTCACGCCTTTAATCCCAGCACTTGGGAGGCAGAGGCAGGCGGATCTCTGTGAGTTCCAGGCCAACCTGGTCTACAAAGTGAGTTCCAGGACAGCCAGGACTGTTACACAGAGAAACCCTGTCTCAAACAAAGATAGGTTTTGTGAATGTCCAGCTATCTGTTGTCAACAGAAGTAAAACTGAATTCAAAACAAACCTAAATTAGCCAGAGGAAAGAGTCACCCTGAAGTCATCCATCCTCAAATGTTTGCAGATTTCTACACCAGGTTCAGTTTGAAAACATGGCTAACGAAAGCTCCAAACTGTCCATGCCACAGTATGAGCCCTTGCATCCTCCATGTTACCAACACCTTGGCTATAAGGAAGATGCGCCATTAGAATCCGTGTGCAACTTCGATTTATAGCATCAAATAGTTCTTTTTTTTTTTACAACGACAAGCCTAGTGAATCACTTTGGTTCAGCTCAGACTATAACAACTTCACCAAATAGATAATAAAATGTTGATGCTTTAGGGTGAATTTATTTAATTGGGAGACATTGATGAAAATAGAGCAAGCAATCTGCTTACAATCTCATATCTTAAAACAAGTAAAAAATACTGTGCAAACACCAGAATTTACCATTTCACTGGGAAAGACTGGCAAAAGGAAAAAGACACTAATGATTAAGAAACACTAATGCCTCTTAGGAGATGTTTTTAAAATTAAATAGTTTCATCCACAGATTTTAAAGTATAAAAATAAATGATTTAATTCTAAATAAATCTTTTTCTAAGTTACAATTATTTTCACTAATTTATCACAATCCGGAAGGCAAATTATAAGCATGGGCCACCCAATAATGAATTAAATGCGTATAGTGTATCTCAGCAATAGTTATAATGGTCCAACCATTTTATGGGATTGAGCTAAGGCTTTTGTGTAGATCATATAAATTATTTTGCAACTGACAAAATGTGTGATCACCTGCTTTAACTCATTTCTTCTGAGACAACAAGGAAAGGAGCAAAAAACACCTATTGAAGAAGACACAGCTTACAACGTGCGAGTATCTTGACTTTGGTTTGTAATGATTTTCATGACTCTTCTTTTGAAAGTCTTCCATGGGACTTCTTGAAGGAAGAAGCAAAAATCACAGCTATGCAGCTATGTTCAGGATACTGAGTGGTGGATTAGCCATAGAGATTGGAGTACCAAATCTACATGTAGTACTCTACTTTTCAAAGCAGAACATTCCATCTATCGGTCTGGTTTGTTCTTTCACTGTCTGTCTACTTTCAACTTCCACTGAGTTGGCTCTGTTTGGTGTGGTAGATCTGGGGCCCTTTGTTGACAGGATCCATTAGCTGACTGGAGAGAAGGAAGCTTCTCAACCCCCAGAGCTAGAGGCCATTCCTTGTAGGAGGGTAAATGGGCATTTCCCTCCATCTCCTGAGGACCTTCATCACTTGGTGGTGGGATCCAGCAGCTTTGCCCTGTGCCCATTCCATATATGTGGGGCTTCCGTCTCCATGAGTTCGGATCCACTGACCCTATTCAAAGAAGATGGGAGGGAGGACAAGAGGGAAGGGTGAAAGGGGAGGAGGGGGAGAGAGGAGATGGGGATACAGAGGAGGAGATGGGGATGTGGAGGGAGAAGAGGAACAGGAGGAGATGAGGGAGAGGAGGAGATTTCATTATTTACAATGTCTGGCAAAAGAGACCCTTGTAATAGTCATGGGATAATAGACTTAAAACACTAGAAACACAGGAACACACTGTCACCCTTTTTGGTACTTGTTTTTCAAAATTAGCATAGTCTTGATTGGTTGAGATAATCGAGAGAGCTGCTCTGTGTTCATCCTATCTCTACATCTGGGCTATAAATGCCTGAGAACAAAGTTTAGATTGGAAAGACACTTCTCTCCTATCATGGCCCTCTTTCCCTCAACACAGTGCTCTTCACGTGACCCTTGCCCGTTGGCACTGGCTGAGGTCAATGAAGATGGCTCTGTGGTCAGCCACCGGTATTATGCTTCCATGCCTCTCTAGGAACAGAGAATACACTGGTTCAGAGCACCCAATCTCTGCTCGCATGTTCACTGTGAATGACAGACACATGATGGGGATAGGACCACATGGGAACAAGTGAGTGCCTTGGAGAAAATGGATCAGTGCGTTTGCTGTGGAGTGGATTAAAATGAAAATGTCCTAACACAGTAGTTCTCAGCCTTCCTAAAGCTGCGACCATTTAATACAGTTTCTCAGGTTGTGGTGACCCCCAACCATAGAATTATTTTTGTTGCTATTTCATACCTGTAATCGTGCTACTGTTGTGAATCATAATGTAAATATTTGGTATGCAAATAGTCTTAGGTGACCCCTATGACAAGATTTTTTGACCTTCAAAGGGATCATGGCCCATAGGTTGTGAACCGCAATTTTAACCCATCTTGGAATATAGACCTAACCATATGAATTCTCCATTTTTTCCTGGCAAAATCATATTTCTGTTAAATCTTTGAGTTTTGGATTAAGTTTCAACATCGTACCACATGTTCCTCCTAAGCAGATTATCTACAAAAGGAAGGATGTGCTTTTAGTTGCTCAAGGAAAAGCCATAACTGTAAGGCAGCCTTTTACCTTCTAACAGTGCTGGCAACACCACCACCCAGGCAACTGTTGGAAACACTGAATTTTAAAAGTATACAGGCAACGGTTACCATAATAAACCACCTATTACAGTTTTTATTCGATTCCTTTATGTGTCTTAATATACTGGTCTTGCTCAAATTAGGCAATAATATTCATTTTTGCTGAATTCAGTATTCTGGGTTACAGAGAAGAACGCATGTTCTAAATGGAAATTTAGAATGAGTTTTCCATAAGAAGACCCTATGTTCTTTTGATTGAAAATCCGAAGAGGGAGGTATGTTGATAGGTGTGACAGGGAATATCAGAAAACATAAGTAGCATTGACACTACTCCAGCTCCTGCCATTAGCAGAGGAACTGCTTCTGTTGGCTCAGAGACTTCCTTTCCAAAGACCTATGACACAAAAGCATGTTCAGCACTGCCCTCCGGGTTGTAAAAAGGACAGTGATATTTGAGACCCGAACCCAAGAGACATATCACAACACAAGTCCTGGCAAAGGGATCACATCAAAGGATGTGTGACTCCGTTTCTACCTGAAGCAGACTGAGTTCCAGGAGAGAGTTTGAGAACTTGGCTTGATTTCATGGTGGCCTGGCTGCACTCTCAGACAGGCAAGAGTCTGGCTGAGGGCTAGCCCCTGACAAGACCAGAATTTTCTGAAATCCCAAGGACAATGCCAGGATCAAGTTATATTAATAGGAACACTCTCACCAGCACACAGAACCTGCTTTTGGAGAGCTATTCCACTTCCAGAGAGCAATGCTCACAGCAACAGGAAGGGGCTGAGTCCTATGTGCTCACGCAGAGTGACCTACAGACTGCAGTGTGCCTGGGCTTGTAAAGACAGGATCTTTACAGAAGAGGGAAATGCAGTCAAACCTATCTCTCTAAACAACATGGTGTGTCAGAGCCACCCAGAGCTCACTCAGCTCAGACAATGCTAATGGTCTTTTTGGGACTATATGATACTTCTCATTGGGAAACACTCGAGACCAAGGGACAGGTAACTACTCACCAGGCTGCAGGTTGGAAGACAGGACAGCACCCACTGCAAGGCCATTGGGGCCAGCGACAGGCAGACTCCCCTCCTTGGGGTCTCGGTGTTCCTCTAGAACCACAAACTGCAGAAAGGACAGGGGAGAAAGGGGATACTGAGGTAACTGACAAGTCACCTTGATAAGCATTAAATTGTAGCTTATCACATGCTCTCAGTGGAAGGTGTAAGTGGGACGAGCGGCCTTGCCAACTTGTCTTTAAAATTTTTCTTTTTATTATTTTACTGTGGGTAAGGGGGTTTGACTACATCTATATCTGTGCATTATATGCTTGCCTGATGCTCACGGAGCCCAGAAGAGGGCACTGGATCCCCTGAACTGGAGTTACTGATGACTGTGAGCCACCATGTGGGTGCTAGGAATCAGAATCTCCCAGTCCACTGGGAGAATAGCCAGTGATCCTAACTGCTGAGCCATCTCTCCAGTCCTGCGAGATTCCAGCATTAACTGGAAACCTTGTGTTCTATTAGGGCACAACTATCTTTCCTGTAGAATATGTTCTGATTACAGAATCTTGGGTTAAGAATCTTCGATTCCTGGGAGCTACTGTTTTGCTGCAAATAAAAGCATAGGTATGCTAAGTGCTGCCCATCGGCCAGACATTAAATAATGCCATGTGTAAGCATGTATAGCCTGTAGTCACATATAATTCATTTAAGCATCCTATCAAGTTGTAAGTAATTCGGGTCACCAGTAAGTATTAATAACCAAAAGCATAGCTACTATTTTGCAGGGACCCATCAGCTGTTTCCTTACGGCTGAGCAGCTTAGGAGCCAGAGTGCTAAAAGAGAGACCCAGACAACCACAACATCATTTCTCTTTACTCAACAAATGCTCATTCTGTCATTGTTTGCACTGTCCAAACTGACTGCGAACTTGCAATGCAGGCTGAGCAGAGCTGACTGGCCTGCACTCAAGCCAGACAGGTTAGATATTAAAAGAAATCAAACAGAAAAGGGAGGAAGAAAACTATGCCATGCTCTCCATGCTCTAGGAGACAGGATGCAGGCTGGTGAAGTCCTTCCTTGTCAATGAATAACCAGGGGGAAGGCCTGCTCCAAGATTTGGACTGACTCTGTGTGGTTCAGAAAGGAGCCCTCTACAGGAAAGGCCTAGAATTCAGAGTAAAAGGTATAGAAAAAACATTTCTGTACCCATCTTTCTCATCCAGAGAAGCGTAGGGAGGCTTACGGAGTGGCACCAATGAGGCAATAGGGACAGAAATACTGGTGATGCAGGTGACTCTCAGTGCTCTGTTTTCTTTCTCTATTTCCCACAACACTCGCCACCCTTTGTCTCCTCCTCACTAACGGTCTCTGCAGTGACATATTGCAGAATCAATACAATGGCCTGCTGTGGAAGGGCATAGGCTCATTATTTCTGGCTCTAGTGAAGAAGTGAACTGCAAATTTTCCAGCCATGTGCCTCCCTGCCAAAGCGTACAGGCTCCGGGACTCTGGCTGCTATGGAAAGCAGCTGATGGGGGCAGATTTGTTTCTGCTGCTTCTCCTCCAGTTTTGGGCACTCAGATCTCCCCAACTCCCTCTGATGCGTGCAGCACAGTTGGTGTGGACGGCAGTTATGACAGCTGGGAGGACACTGCTTAGCAGCCCCGGCTTCCGGATACAGCTCAGAGCCGACAAGCTGTTTGCCACCACAATGTGGAGTTTGGATTTTTTAAAAAACGTATTTAAAAGAGACATGGGCAGAAACAGTTTCTCATTCTTCCCTAAGATTTAAATGAGATCAATTAAATTAGCAATCTATACCTCGATAGCATGTCAAGTGCAATGCAGGTAATTTAGCAGTCTACAAAGCCCATGAGCTCTCAAAGCACTGAGCTCTGCTTAGAGAGAAGTCCTAAGCCACATGCTTATGGCGTTTATGAAGATGGATCTTAGCATCCTAGCATCTTCAGAAAGCTATATTGATGAGGAAACAGAGGTCCAGAGCTTAAAGCACTTGCTGAAGATCGGTTAGATGTTAAGGTTAAAAGACACAATATGAGACCAGCAGGCAGCTAGCACAGATTTCAGTTTCTCTGAAAGGCATGGATAAAGAGGAAAACGAACAATGATGCTTAGCAAGGCAACTCTTAGCTTCATGTGCTTTGACAACATTACCCAGGGTTGGGGGCAAGAAGACATCCCAGCTCCCCTGCAGTTGGGCCCGTCATTGCTCGTGTTTCTGCTTGACTCTTCATACGGGTTCTTTGTGGTTTCCGATAGCTGCTTCTGAGTCCTGAGATGAAGAAACAAACAAACAAACAAAAAACAAAACTGAGACACTCTCAGAAGAAAAGCCAAAAGCTTGTCCCACTCGCTGGTGTAGCTATTTTGTCAGATTAGGTCTAGAAATGGTATATATGTAGTCAAGCTCGGAGTTGAAAACCCGAGGCCAGCAAGCAGCTCCTGGGGGGCAGCACTGTTAAGTAATCACCCACAGAGATGTTCACAGGGACATAAACAACTCTGGAGCGTTGCAATCGCAAGAAAGAGTTCTAACAGGCTCTTCTTTTTCTGTCAAGAAACAGTTCTTATTATCTATGAGTGTGTATCTACGAGGTTTGCCTGTGCGCACCAGTATGGAAGTGTGCCCTCTTTTGGACGTCAGAAGTAGAAATTGTACATCTTTCTCGATTGCTATACATCTTGTTTTTTTTGAAGCAGGGTCTCCAGTGAACCGAAAGCTTGCCAATTCAGCTGGCCTGACTGGTCATCGAGCCCCAGGGATGCTGTTTCTGCATCCCCAGTGCTGGGATTCCATGTGTATAGCTGCACCCTGCTTTATTTTATCTTAAGTTTTCAAACATAGGTGCTGAGGATCTAACTCAGGCCCACAGGCTTGTATGGCAGCATTTTACTGACTGAGTCATTTCCTTGGCCCCTCATCACTTTTGTTATTAGGAGTGTGGGAGTCTGAAGCCGAAAATCCACCATCAACCAGCCACTAACTCCATACGTGCCACTGGTCAGGCAGGCTTGTTGACAAATACTTGAAATCACAACAAGGCAAGAGTTGGAGGCTAGCCCAGGCTACATAGCAAGACTTTGTCTTAAAAAATATCCAGACTTCTGAAAAATATTAAGTCACATGTGTTAACACATCAGATAAACAAAAAATAATTATGTCATACATAGTATTAAAGGTTTTTTTGGTTTTTTGTTTTTGAGACAGGGTCTTACTATGTAGCCCTAGCTGTCCTGGAACTCACTCTTTAGATCAGGCTGGCCTTGAACTCACAGAGATCTCCTTGCCTCTGCCTCCTGATTTCTTGGATTAATAGGTGTGTGCCACTATGCCTGGCAAAGTTTTGTTTTTTTGTTTTTTTTTTATTTTTGTTTTTTTTTTCTCTATTGGCCAAATATATTCAGATTGACATTCTTTCCAGCCATTAATGAGTCAATATTCTTTCTACAAACATACAGAATATAAACAACAGGCTTAAAAAAGTGCAATTATACTGAGGGGCCACCAAATTAAAAGTTCAAGCTTGTCCTGGAGAATCTTGTCTCTCAGGAGACAATGGAAAAGGTTTTCAAGTGCATACCTCTTATTGGGAAGATCATGTTCATATAACACCATAATAACTTCAGGTAGCATTTATTATACCAAATATATCAGGCCTATGGTGAGCTCTTAACTCAGACTAACTCAGTCTCACAGCAACTCTTGAAATAAGTCCATTTCCCTATTCTTCATCGCAAAGAAAACTAATGCATACACAGGAGGAAGCCTGCCTGGGGGTCTTTAGACATGAACTTGGATTTGGAATGCACAAGCTAATTCCACACATTTCACTGCTACAGTATGCACAGCAGGGTCTTTGGTGGAAGCACCTTGGCTGATGATACTGAATTTTCCAGAATATGAAACTTGAGTGCTTCTTCAGCTTTGGAAATGTGGTTATGTGGTTGTATATTTATCTCCTGGTAGCAGCGGGTACTCTCCATCTCACCAAAAAGGTGACATCTGGCAGGTAAGGGGACCACAACCGTAAGATGATGCATTCAAGCCACACAATTTTATAAAGCCCCTTCAGCCAAGCCTTGTGAGTCGCTGTTTTTTTTTCCCTATAGCACAAACTATAACACTCCCTAAGCTATTTCTACTGAAGACAGAGCCGTGTTATCCTTTTAAAGCAAATGAACACAAGCAGTGAGCTGCCTGTTTTAGGTGAATGCATGTTACTGTTTCCCAGTTTTAAACTATTAATTTTAACTTATTAAAAACAAAGCCCAATGGCCAGATTCCTTCCCAAGTTAGGGAAGATAACGATTTTCTCTAATGAAGAGTAGTTGTGGGTAATTAACAGCAGGCAGTCATGAGAAATTATGGTTGTGCTGGCTGATGTAGGCGTGGGATGCTAGAAGAAAACACTGGCCTGCAATGATGCATGGGGGCAGATAAGATCTGAGGGTGCAGCTCAATAAAACATGTGTGGGGTCCTGGGTTCGAGCCTCGCCATCACCAAAATGAAGGACCACAGATCTTATGCAATGACCGGGAAGGGAATGGAAGCGCATTGATATTTTAATGCAGACTTTTTGTTTTGTTTGTTTTTTGAGACAGGGTTTCTCTGTATTGTTTTGGAGATTGTCCTGGAACTAACTCTGTAGACCAGGCTGGCTTTGAACTCACAGAGATCCGCCTGCCTCTGCCTCTCGAGTGCTGGTATTGAAGGTGTGCGCCACCAACGCCCAGCTTAGTGCAGACTTTTAGAAAAGATTATGCCTCCCTTTAAGTGCCGTAAGTATTTTGCTCGAATTCATCCAAGGAAGTAGGCATTCTTTGGGAAGAGCTTAGAAAAGAGGGCACCAAGTCCCGAGGCAAAGAAAGGATTACCTGTAGCGGTAAACCACCCAGGTCCCCAAGAGGAGCAGCAGGACTAGCGCAATCACACAGACGGCCACCACAGTAATGTCGCGCTCCTGCCCGTGGCCAGCGTGGCGCAGCTCCCACCATCGCAAGTCTCGGTGCTGACATCGCTCCCCAACGTAGCCAACGATACAGCTGTGGATGACACCCAAACAGAAGTCAGCCCCTGGCACCTGACACTTCCGAACTCGGTATGCGTTGTCTGTCTTCCTTCTCTTTTCTGGATTCAGCTTGGTGAGCCTGTGATGTGAGCTGAACACACTACGATTCACACGTCAACACGGACAGCGCTAACACCGAGACGCTCCTCTTTGCTCTGCCTGTCTTCAGGGTGACCGGGAGTTATTTGCATACTGTCTCTGTAGGACACACTCAGGAGACACCCTTTCTAAACCAACACAAAGTGATTCTGCCCGCAAGAGTCAGGAGAGACCTGGAAACAGATGTCTGGCCAGACTGCAACAGTTGTAGGTCAAAGGAAAGAACTAGAAGGCAGAGAGCCTTGTTGAACGCTAGGCTGTAACAGAAGTGTATGCGGGCTCTGGGAAGCATGTAGAGCTTAGATTATGGAGGGGCTGCTTGCTTTTTCCAACAGAAAAAAGAAAATAGTGACACAAGAGGTGAGTAGCTGTTTTGAGGACAAGGGGCCATTTGCCTATAAACAGCTGACTGTTGGAGGAAGACTCTTACTGTAATTATAAGGTAGGTGAAGCAAGGCTGCCATCTACTGGAAGTGCTTGTTTCTAGGCACCAGAACGCAGAGGAACAACTGCATTTTCTTCACATTAGAATTAACTTTTTTTTTTTTTTTGGTTTTTCAGAATTAACTTAAATAAAAAAATTCAAATTTCCTCCCTCAGCCCTGGATCTGCCATCGGCCCATCTATGTCCCCACTCTATTCTAAAAGGGCTGAAGGAAATAATATACAGAAATGATACCAGCAGCTCTGGTGGGAAGACAGCATGGAAAACCACTCTTGCCATTTCCAGAAGATCTGGAGTCTATTCCCTAGTTCTACCTTTCCCCCACCAAAAGAAAGTGGAAAGTCGCTTTCTGAGAGGGAAGAAAAGGAACAATAATTAAGCACCTATGATTGACACCACGTGGTGCTGCACAGTTTTTACTCACTGCTTTTTAACTCTAGTTTTTGTAGGCATCTCCTGTTTTACAGGTAAGGAAACAGGCTCAGCGCTAAATAACGCTCATGACGTCACACAGCTAATGACCGGCCGCTCCGACTCACATGGATCTGGGATGTCAAACCTAGCTCCCTAGTGTTGTAATCCAGGCAAACCTGGCCCCGCCTCTCACCCACCCGTGCATGGCAGGTATGTGTACCCTGACCCCTTAAGAGAAAGACACCATCCACTTCCGTTCTCTCTTTCCCGCTGTTCCTCTGAAGGGCCAGACAGGACTTTACTGTCCCTTCCTCTCTCTTCTCCCACCTCCTCTCGTCTGTCTTCTCTGTCTCTGTGTCTCTTTACCTTCTTACTCAACCCCCATAAATCTTGCAATGAGTCACATCTGCAGTTCTCTGTTTCCCGTCTGCCCACCGTCCACCATCCTCTGGACCCAGGACCTGCTGCGCGGTCCTAAACCACTGTTTTATTCCTAACACTCAGTATATTGTGTTGTTTTCAACAGGACTTTTGTTCTGTTCACCCCTGAAAGAAAATTGTTCTAGAACTGACTACACAAAAGATGGCAAGAGCTGATTGGAAGCACACGGTTATTCAGGCTTCTTGGGGTCTCTCTTAATTCTATCTTATTTTGGTTACAGCTACTTATTGACAATCCCTAGCAGCCATATCTTTTTAAATTGTTGGATGCTAATGGGCTCCATTTGCAAATCAAGGTGATCTGAGGTCTTGAGGAATGTGTCAAATGGCCAGTGATCCTACAAAGCCAAGTAGGCTAAGATAGCAACAGAGCCCAACACAGCAGTGCACAAGAGGGTGGGGCACAGCCGGGAGTCTTTTGGATTATTTGAATTATTCATTTGTTTGGCAACAACAACAACAAAAAGGTTCCCTGGGCCAAGTAAGTTTGAGTTTCCACGGTCAAACGATATAGACCACGTAAGTGTAAAGCAGCCTTAAAAGTTGTAGTCATGAGTCCGTGAGGACTGGCGGAGCATTCTCCAATCCGACCTGTCCTCGGGAAATGTCACAGCCCTGCTGTAAGGGGTCCTGCTTCATAAGGATGTGTTAGGAGGGTGTTTGGCCAGAGAGAATGAAGGTCTCCAAGGAGCATCCCGAGCAACCAGGAGGGCAAAGTTAAAGGCAGCCAGTGCCAGCGGATGCCCCCCTCCCAATACATCATGGGACCTGGGCTCTGCATCTTGCTCCCAGCAAGGAAAGAAGCCCTTAGAAGCTGCTCTGTGCAGGAAGACAGGGAAGCTGCACTGACAGGTACCCTGAGGTTTGTTACAGCGGAATTAATAGGATGTAAGGGAGGTTGACAGAACAAATGGAGGGACGTTCTGAAAACCTGTTAAACCACATTTCTGTTAAATCGGTTCAAAATAAAGTTATGGTCCAATGACTGAACACCAGTGATTTTAAACATTGCTTTTGGTTAAAGGTCCTTATATGTGTTATCTTTTGTTTACTTAAAATAGGGTCTTCTGTGACCCAGACTGGTTTTCGATTAACTATGCAGACAAGAATGGCCTAGAACTTCTGATTCTCCTCCTCCTGCTTCCCTAGTGCTGGGATTTCAGGTGCACTCCTGTGCTTTTGCCCTGCCCGACTTAATTGTCATCTTTTGGTAACCTGTGTTTAGAGCATAACCAAAGGAAGATGATGTTTTCATAAGGCTTAATGCTAAAAAGAAAGGTGTGTTGGTGAATCATCAGAATCAGATTAAAATAAAAACTGCGCTATTGCAACGCACTATAGTCCTTCATATTGCAATAGTGATTTGGGGATCTAAAGTTAACTACCATGGAGGAAAGAAACCATAGGGAATCAACTAGACATCCAGTTTTGTAATTTCCTATTTGGTAGAATAGAATAAAGTGTGTAGATAAAAACAGTTGGTTGCTAACATTAAAGACTATTAATTAGAATTTATTATAATACTAAGACTCGTGTTAGAAAATCACAGTGTGTAAATATGAACCTGAAAGCAGAAGTCAACTGTAATTGAGTCATTCTTACTAATATTTCCAAACAGCCCCACAATCTTTGTCAGGCTGACATGATTTTTAATGTAAGACCACATACTCTGTCAAAGCATATAGCTTCTTCCTCCAATAATTCAGACTCTTTTTCATTATTACTAACAAAAATGACAGAATTATTTAAGCCCATACAATCTACTCAGTATGACCACAGCTCCAGTCATGGGGTACTGTGTATTTTAAACATCTATCTTGAACATGTGAAATTTGTTAGAATTAAAATGTCATCCTGAATTAGATATGGCACATTTGGGTTTCTCTGTGTATATAGGTTGTGCATGCAACTACACATGGAGACCAGAAACAGACACCTGGTATCCTCCTCCTTTGCTCTCCACCTCTTAACAACTTTTATTTGTTTATTTGTATGGGTGTATGCATGTATAGATGTATGGATGTGTATGGGTGTATGTGTGGATGTTTGTATTGGTGTATTGATGTATGTGTGTGTATGGGTGTATGTGTGCATGTGTGTGTGTATGCATGTATAAATGTATTGGTGTATAGATATATGTATGTGTGTATGGGTATGTGTGTATAGGTGTATGTATGTATGGGTGTATGTGCATGTATGTGTGTATATGGATGTATGTGTGTGTATGTGTGTATATGTATATGTATGCATGTGTATAAGTGTGTGTGTGTGTGTGTGTGTGTGCATGCATAGATGCCACCGAGCATGTGTGCAGGTCAGAAAACAACTTGCATGAGTCTTGTTCTCTCCTTCCCATGTGGGTCTCAGTGACTGAACCCAGGTTCCAGGCGTGGTTGGGAGACTTTTTCTCCAAATGAGCCTGTCCAGATCTTCCACCGTATACTTAGAGACATGGTCTCTCAGTGATCCTGGAGACGCTGGGGACCCTCCTGTCGGCACCTCTCCAGTGCTAGGGTACAAGCTCACATTGCCCCACCTGCCTATTTATCTGGAAGCCAGAGATCTGAACCTAGGCTCCCTTCCTTTGCTGATTCACCCTTCTCCCCAGCCCCACACAGAACGGCTTTTTATTACACAGGAAGGCTCTCTGTGTGGGCGTCATGGGAGTGTCTCAGAGCCCTAGGTCTTTGGAATCTCTTCAGGTCAAAACCTGACCTGCCATATTGCTCAGGGGAGCTAAACAGGAGCAAACAACAACTGTTTCATCCCTCAGCCTCTGCTACCAAGACAACAACAAAAACTGGATATTAGGAAGAAAAGAAAACTTTGTTTTAGCTTTAAACTTTAGAGGCAATAAGTCTAGTGTAACTATAGATGTAACACTTGAATCTGGCTCTAATTGGTTTTAGTAAATTTCCTACAGGTCTGCCTTCTTCATGTTGAATGAGGAACTGAATCTCCAGCCTCTGCTCATCAAGTTACTTAAGTAAAAAAAAAAGAAAGTCACCACTTCTGATAGAAAAATCTCCTCTGTACAGACTTTACAAACTTCCTGAACGTCATGGACTGATATTCTCTTGTGCCATCGGAAAGACTCTTGACTTACTTGCACGCGTAGCTGTCCACTGCTTCAACATACATGCACACACCACCATGCAGACAGTATCCATCATGTGACGGTGGGCATCCTGAGTTACTATTTCTGACCAATTGGCGGTCATCTTCGCCAAGGATAGGGGGTAAGGTAGAGCCTGGAATAGTCAAAGATATGTCTTAGATTTTGAGTTTCTATGAACAACTTACAGTGGAAGTATCGGGAGTCATAAGTTCCAGCTTCCTAACCAAGCTTGTGTCAGTCACCAAGAAGCGAAGCCCTTCTTTGTAGTGATATTTTGTTTATGATCTAACAAATAAAACTTGCCTGAAGATCAGGATGCAAAACTAGCCACACTAGTCAGCCATACAGGCCAGGCCAGACCGGCGGTGGTACATATCTTTAATCCCAGCACTAGAGAGGAATATAAAACGGGAGGAGACAGGAGTTCAGGGTCTCAGTCTGCAGTCACTCTGAGGACAGCATTGCCTTGGTGGAGGCGAGAACTCTCCAGTGGTTGGCGCTTTGCTTTTCTGATCCTTAGCTTGAACCCCAATATCTGGGTTTTTATTATCTGTGCTAACTTTCTTTCTCTGGATTTGGGCTATCAGATATAAAATACGCTAGAGACAAAGAAAGGAGGGGACATCCTCAACCTGAAATGAACCGGGGACCCTCTCAGACATGAGACTATAGCAATTAACAGGAGAAAGTCAAAGAGGCAAAGCCTCCTGGTTTTGATTTTTTTTTTTTTTGGTTTTTTGAGACAGGGTTTCTCTGTAGCTTTGGAGGCTGTCCTGGAACTCACTTTGTAGACCAGGCTGGCCTCGAACTCACAGAGATCCGCCTGCCTCTGCCTCCGAGTGCTGGGATTAAAGGCATGCACCACCAACGCCCGGCTTGCCTCCTGGTTTTGAATAGTTTGCTACTTCTTAAAATGAAGGCACTGGGGTGTGCACCTGACAAAGAAGTTTTACAATTTTTTGTCTGTTTTTTATTTTTTGGAGCGTGACAGGGTCTCTCAGTAATTGTCCTCAAACTCATGGCAATCCCCATGCCTCAGCCTCTCAACTACTGGGATTGCAGGCACCAGCCACCATACTTATCTTCAATATCTTTTGAATGGAGGAAATTATCTGAGGAAAAATAAAATAAAACAATTCACTATAAAAGCCAGAACCCAGGCAAGTAAGAACTTCCCTGCTGAGCTGAGAGGGTAAGAGCTCTACCCTGGTTGCCAGGGCCTTGGAGAAACCAGCTTCTTCGTGGGGTGCAGATGTGGTTTGTGAAGTGAAAGTCAGCAGTGGTGACTGTTTTAAAGAAACAAAAGCTGGTTGGGTTGCTAATTCACCTCAAGACATGCTGACTTTTAAAAGCAATTTAAAGATCCTTGAAAACTCCTTGGCGCACGCCTTTAGTCCTGCACTGGGGAGGCAAAGGTAGGCAGATCTCTATGAGTTTGAGGCCAGCCTGGTCTACAAAGAAGTTCCAGCACTGCCTGGGTTGTTATACAGAAAACCCTGTCTCAAAACACAAACAAAAGTCCTTGAAGGTGACTCTTCTCCCATTACTGAAAAGTTGCTAGGGGTTTCCTGTGCTGGGCAACACGGTACCCTGGGCTGTAGCCCATACTGAGGTGTGCTGTGTGTATAATATACATACCAGCTTTTTAAGTTTTAGTACCAAAATTTAAGTAGATAAAAAATTTTGTGCAGGTTAGCTCTGAAAGTCTTAACATTTGTATGTACTGAAATAAACAAAATATACTATTACAAGTCCAGTTATAGTCTTGACCTGCCTAGGCCAGCAAAGTTTTTCCTACAGCCCCTGAAAACTACCAACCAATGGAAAGTAGTCACAGAGTTAGGGAGAACCAGCTATACTGAACTGTAATAGTGATGATGAGGATGACGGTGAGGATGATGATGATGACAGGTTTATTACAGATGCTGTGAAGTTAACAAAGCCCACGCCATCTCTAACTCTGCTGCCCCGCATCGATCTTGTGATGAAATCCAGCTTTCCGGCCCAATTAAACAATGCTTTCTAGAATCCCCAAGGCAATCAGGATTTTCTGAACCAAGTTCCTCCCGGTTGACCTGGACCACCCATCCACCTACCGGGGCAAGGAAGTCCGGGTGCAAACGGGAGACCCAGGCAAGTGCAGTTGTAGCCTCCCTCCGTGTTGGTGCAGTTAGCATTCTCGCCACAGCTGTGCGCCCCCTGCTGGCACTCATCAATATCTGTTTGACGAAGAAGGGAGAAGAGAAAGGAATGCAGAGAAAGGAGCAGGGTTATGGAACCACAGAGTCCAGTAGTCATGCTCCAGGACCCTATGCATTCTAGGGGTACTGCCACAAATGCTGGAAATAAAGATCACACCTATTCAGGGATTCTAGGCTCCTGATACGATTTCTGTCCCTCTTGGGAGGAAGACTTGTCAGAGCTCAGGAGAGCACCTCCAGCAATCAGCGTGTCATATCCTAAAACTCAGACTTCATTTTTGCAACTAGATGCTCAGCTATTGGCATAAATGGCATATCACCTGCTTCGTTTTAATTTTCATAAAACGGCAGCTAGAAAGCTCAAGAAAGGGCTGATTCAGGGAAGTGAAAAGCTACAACAGCCACCCCTCAGACTTCTGCTAAGAGTAGGGACTGAAACATGTCTCCAAATGTTCGTGTTCTGACAGCCTAGCTCCCAGCAGACTGCATCTGAAACAGCGTTTGTGGCGCTGTCTAAGGTTAAACGAGAACAGGAGGAGGGTGTCCTGTTGGACAGCTGTCTCCACAGAGGAAGGAGCACCAGGGTTTCTACACACCACAGAGGAGAGACTGTGAGGGTGCAGCAAGAAGGTGGCTTCCGTGAGCCAAAGATGGTCCGTCTACCAGAACTACCCCAGCCAGCACCTGCATGTAGGGCTGCAGCCTCTCGAGCCACGGAGAAGCAAGTTCCCGAGACCTAAGGCATCCCGTCTGTGGACTGCACTGTCCACTGCTCGCACACAAGCTGGACTTAGCCCCGGTTCCCACTCCCCAGATACAAGATTTGTTCACGTCTGGATCCTCGCCACACTTCACGCTTCTCATAATTAACATTTATTCATTCTCCATAGTCCCTCAAAATGACACTTCCTCCAGGAAATCCTGCCTGAGACCTCGAGCAGATAGCCCCCCTCCCCCCACTTCTCAGCTAGTTGTGTTTCTGCTTCTCTCACGCTGTGCATCTGTCTTTGTCTCTTATGGCAGCCGAGTTTCTTTCGGATGGTGGTCTATTGGCAAGCAAGAGCTGGTGTCCTCATCTTGGTACTCCTCACAGTTGCTACTGCCTCTGTGCCCAATGGAGACTAAGGGCTTTGAATTACTACCCTGAATGCATCAAAGTAACTTCTGTTCTTTGTTTCCTATGGGTTTGAATTGCTTCTTTTTCTGGAGGTTCTGAGCCTCTGGCCTCACACACAAGTCCTTTACGTCTGCGCCATGTCTCCAGCCCTCAAGTCGTTGTACACAAAACAAGCAAAATCAGAATTCTTGCCATAATGAAGTTAGAAATCCTCTCTCAGTTTGATGGGGCTCACTCTTCCCCAAGGCATAACAATCACGAACGACTGAGACACTTCCTTTTCAAATTTCATTCTTTTGTGTGAGCATGTAGAGATCAAAGGATAGCTTGCAGTCGGTTCTTTTCCATCTTTATGTGGGTCCCAGGGCTTGAACTCAGGCCACTGGGCTTGGCAGCAGGCACTTTTACCCACTGAGCCATCTTAGCCGCCCAACAACATTTTCCTATAGAATGGATGTCCTAGGCATGGCTTGAAGCCTATCACCTACTGTCCTGCCTGCCCAATTTTATGTCAACTTGACCCAGGCTAGAGTCATCTGAACAGAGGGAGTCACAACTAAGGAAGGCCCATAAGGCTGGGCTGTAGGCAGGCCTGTAGAGTATTTTCTTAATTACTGACTGATGTGGGTTGGTGGGCTGCTTGCTGGTCCTGGGTTAACAAAAGAGGCCGATGGGAGGCAGAGGCGGGCAGATCTCTGTGAGTTCTAGGCCAACCTGCTCTACAAAGCAAGTTCCAGGACAGGCTCCAAAGCTAGAGAGAAACCCTGTCTCAAAAAACAAAACAAAACAAAACAAACAAAAAGAGGCAAGAAAGCCAGTAAGCAGCACCCCTCTGCGGCCTCTGCATCAGCTTCTGCCTCCAGGTTCCTGCCTCATTTGAGTTCCTGCACTGACTTCCTTCTATGATGGGCTGATACCTGGAAGTGTGAACTGAAATAAACCCTTTCTTCCCTCAGTTGCTTTTGGTCATGGTGTTTCATCACAACAGTAGTAACCCTAAGTAAGACATCTACTTATCAAACACACACACACACACACACACACACACACACACACACACACACACACACACTCAGGTACAATGGCAGAAAACACAGGCATACCTATGGCTTCTGTGGTCCTGAGAACCCCATGGAGCTAGGCAAGGCAGGGCCATGACACCCTTTGGCATATTTGATAGGAGGTAGGTTAGTGAGAGAGGGAATCTAGAGTCCATAAAGAGTTTAAGTCTCTTGACAAAATATACCTTCTTTTCTCTTCAAAAGAAATGAAATATGACATCTGTTTGCCCCAAATATCTGTGAGCCTGCTTAATTAGTGCAGTGACATTTTCCTGACTGCCTGCCAAATGTGTGCTTAAAGGTGTGTTTTCAGATGTCTGTGGGCTGCACAGACCGAATCTGATAACGTCTGGCTTAAGCCAACCAGACTCACACATAGATAGTCATGACCTTCACGTGGGAGAGAAGACACCATCACTTGAGTTTCTTATCAGGCATCTGCCCTTCGCTGTCTGTTTTCAGAAGAAGGAAAAGAGAAGTCCAGAAGAGGAGCTGGGAAACTCTGGGAAAATGGCTAAGCACTGTACTGGGTGTGGGTGGCCTAGGGCAGGCCTCCACTTGTACGGGGATGCTGACACCTGGGGCAGCAGAAGACATCCACAGGGTGAGCTCCCAGCCCACAGCCCCACCCAGCCCTTGGCAGAGGAGGGTGGTTATGAAAGGTCTTTCAATCATTCTGTACTTGCAGTGAAATGTCAGTGCTGGAAGCTCTCCTCTATTGAACTAGCAAGAAACACCCCACGCCCGCCTGGGCGCCACCGTCCTTTTCTTAATGCTCACAGCTACTCCCAACACACCTACACCGGCACTGTATTCACCGCAGTCCAGCCGCCACACTCAGTGACAAGGAAGTGCTGACCCGCTGCCCACTGCTGGCCTACAACACTGAGCACTGATGAGCCCCCATCCCTCAAACCCCAGAGGAGGAACTAAAGACAGAAAGAGGCAGACAAAACCGCCTGGGCAGCTTGGCTTGTGCACTGTGGCCAAGAGACTCTTTATGTGGGTCTGCACAGGTCACAGAGCTTCTCTCTTATCCTTGACGTGTGTCTCTCTCCGGCTGTACCCTGCCTTCTCTTGGCCCACAGCCACCGCAACTTTTGAGGGCTCTCTTTAGCTTGCCTCCTCCCCATCCCTGATGCAACTGGCACCCCAGTGCTCTCACCGAGACAGTCGGTCCCATCTCCTTCGTAGCCCTCCGAGCACCTGCAGACGTAGCCACCTTCAGTGTTGACACACTCGGACGACGTGGTAGGACAGCTCGCGCTACCCAGCGCACATTCATCTATATCTGTGGGGGAAGTACGGACACAGGAACTGCTTAGGCCGGCAATGGTTTTCAACCAGTGGGTCATGACACCCAACAGGGGTGGCGTTTCTGATATCCTGCATACCAGATATTCACATTATGATTCATAACAGTAGCAAAATTACAGTTATGAAACCGTTTTATGCTGTGGGGGGGTCACCACAACACGGTGAACTCTACTAAAGGGCCACAGGGTCACAGCATTAGAAAGGTTAAGAACCACTGGTTTAGGCAATCCTGGAAATAAATAACAGGAATGTAGGAAACACTAAGCCTTTGTATAGTCAATCACTTGACTGCTAACAGGTACTTACGTTAGCGAATAAAATGCAAACCCTACATTTTAGATTTGAATTTCATTTCTTAATTAATTTTTTATGAAGTTCTCACCTGTCCAAATAGCTAAGTAAGTCTAAGTAAATTACTTTCTGCCAGAGTTCCAGATGACAAGGACTGACATTTTCCCAGTAATCACCAACTTACAATTTGAGGCTATCAATATAAAATCGAAATCTATCAGTCACCATCTATTTGTTTTACTAAAGCATATATATTAGCTTTCTTGGAGGAAAATGTTCTATTTTTGTGAATTTATAAGTTTGACTTGAGCTCAAATTCATACTTCTTAGTGTCAACTTCATTTCTTTACGTAATTTTAACACAACACCAATATAATATGAGGTAGCAGTATATGTAAATGTGCTTATATGGCTCATTATCTGTGCATACAATACTTTTTTTTCTAACATCAAATAACTTATTTAAACCTACTGATTTCTTGTGGAGATTTTTAGTCAGTAAAAAGCAAAACAAATTGTTCTGGTTCACGATTTTCCAAATTTGTGTATTTGGCTTTTGCTCTTACCAGAACACAGGTTTCCATGCCTAGCAAATCCTTCCAAACACTGACACTCAGCAGTCTCTCCCTCTGAAACACAGACAGCATGCCTGCCACATGCCCCGGGGCCGCAATCGTCTTGATCTGCAAACACAAAAACCCCATGCAATTATTTCCAGTCTTCAAAGAAGAAAGGGGACCTCAACGTGCTGGACAGAACATCCCACACTTCCTGAAGTTCAAGTGTGGGCTAATCTCCAAACAGAAAGAACTGGTTAGGTCTGTCCATGACATCTGTTTTACTTGGTCCAGAAGACACATCTCATTGCTTCCCTGTGCCTCCCAACCTTCAGTTGCATTTTTTGTGTGCTTGCTAGTTTTGCTTTGCTTCTGATTTGTTGGTTGTGATTTTGTTGCTGTTCTGGCTAGTAGCAAGTAGCCAAGGCTGGCCCTAACACGAGACCATCCTGCCTCATTCTCCCACATGCTGAGCTAAACCTCAATCTTAAGGAACCATTTGGTGTTCAGAGGGCTCTGTGTGGGCTTGTTTATAATTAGTTTAAGGTATCTGGACATTTGAACTACTAGCAGTGCTTAAAATGGATTCCAATTTTAAGTGGATTTTACTTAAAAATTCCCAACTATTGTTACACACAAAAGGCCCATCTATTCTTTCCCCGAAACACAGACTTGTATGTAGCAAGCAGATCTGTCTAAGGCAAAGAGATTAACTCACAGAAGGATTTACCATCAATTTACCATATCAAGTTTCATATCTAATAGGATACATGTCTCAGTATGTGCTTATTATCAAGATTGATGCACAGACTTGCAAGCCTCCTGGCACTTGTGCAAAGTCATGAACCACGCAAGTCAAACTGTAAAGGGATCACTTCATTTCATACTCCATTGAGATGCAAATGCCCCGGGGAGACAGAGTTCCATGTCAAGCAACAGACATGAGCAAGCTTTTCTTTGTTTCTTGCCTTTCTGTTTTAACTGTTTGTGCATATAATCATTCCCCAAATAACACCCACCTCCTCCTCTTTTGGGTTGGGATATCTGACATACCGCAGCACTCTATGAGCCGTCATCGCTCTGGTCACTGGTAAGCTTGTTCACAGTATACAGAAGACATAAAACGAAGAAGCCTACTGAGCTCATTTATAAATCAAAGGTTACACTTTCTAGGCGGGAGTCGGGTCCCATCTGACTGCAGACATTAGGGTAATTGTGTTTTTGTGTTTCATGTGCTTAGCTACTTCACCAAGATTTCTCCTTCCTGTGGGAACACATGACTTTCACGCTTGATTGGTCACTCCCTGTCACTCCCAACTCAAGATGGGTACATTCAAATATCTAGTTCCCAAATCACAAGGCTGCTGAGAGCAAGAGTGGACAGCATCCAAATCACACCAAACATGAAACCACTGTAAAACCATCCGAAATTAGAATATGGTTCAGGACTTTTGCAAACCTTGAGTCACTTTGCATGAAGGAAAGCAACAGACACGCACTAGGAGGCATGAGCTACAACCAGAGTTCTTACTGCGACAGGCTAGCTGTAGACATGGTGGCAGTGTTCACCTTTCCTCTACATTATGAGCAGGGATTTCTGTAAGGGATGTTTTCCATGCCATGTTGTAGAAATCCAAGGAAAAAGTGATGGTTTAAAACATTCTCTGCAAATTAAAATTAACTTCACATATCTAAATAAAGATGGTAAAAATGGGCATAGTCAGGGTTGTAGACTTGGTCTCGTGACTAATAGCATTTGCTGCCCTTCCAGAGGATCATGGTTTGGTTTGCATGCCCATTTGGCTGTGCACAGACATCTGTAACCCCAGTCTCAGAGGATCTGAGGACCAGGTACCCATGTGGTGTACACACATACATGTAGGAATACAGCCATACACATAAATAACTAAAACATTTTAATAATTAAAAAGAAAGGCCTAGTGGTAGCTTAATAATTAGGATTGAGGGCTTAGCCCAGTGGTTGCAGCATGGGTAAAGCCTTGGGTTTGAACATCAGTACTTTAGAAACAAAGCCCCAAACACCAGAGGAAGTTCTGGGAACTAATAATGTGTATTCAGGTCCTACTGAGCAATAAAAAGGCAGTAATGTAGGATGCAGACAAAGCTCTGCTGGCTTGCTTTATTTTCGAAGGCTAAGTGAATACAAAGCCAACACAGACTATTACATACGTCCTCAAAGTCTGATGGCATCATCACTCCTGGCCTCCAACAGCCATCAATGCACTCTTTGTCATGAGCCTTCATTGGGCAATGTCTCTTAAGTATGCTAGAATATGTCCTATGAGCATGTATGGATCCCTGGTGAGTCTGAAAGATGGTCTCCAGCCCACTAAAATCGATTGATAATGCTTTATTTAGTTAGACAGCTTATTCATTCTCACATTAAGCTGTGACAACGCAAGTTGAGACTATTATGCATGGCCTGGTATCCCCAGCACTTGGGTGCATGACCAAAAAAATAGTCACATAAATATATTTCTAGTGCAATAAAATTTTTTGGTACTTCTTATTTTAACGTGGATTGATTATTTGATCATACCTTTTGAAAAAATCCAAATATTTACTTTTGTGCGTTTGCATATATTCATATTCGTGTGTGCGTGCGTGCATGTAGATGTGTGGAGGCCAGACTTCGATGCTGGGTTCCTTCTTCAGTCATGTTCTACCTGATTCTTTGAATGCCTCTCACTGTACGTGGGCTTGGTAATTCAAACTGACTGGCTAGCAGGCCCCAGGGATCTTCCCGCATCCAGCGCTAGGATGGCAAGCCCGCATCCAGCGCTAGGATGGCAAGCGCAAGCTACCATGCACTTTTTTGTGGGTCCTAATTCCTCAGGTCCTCATGTGTGCAAAAAGCACTTTACCACCTGAGTCATCTCTCTGGTGCCATGTAACCATGATTTCCAAAATCTTTAGTCACCAATGCATACACCTCCGTCTCAGTTTTTACATCTATAAAATAACGGGGCACAAAGGAATCAAATTTTTAAAATGCAATTAAGACATGGTAAATATTAAAAGTTCATACAAATATTAATTATCATCATTACTAAAGATATATACTTCTTTATACTATCAAAAACCACACTGGTAGACAGTGCAGTCTTTAAGCCCCGTACATTCATCTGCTCTTCAGACTACAAAAGTCAGAGAAAGACTTTCCTAAATGTCCTCTCGCTGAGTTTTCAAATACTTTTGCTTTGTTTTGCTTTTTGAGACAGGGTTTTTCTGTGTATCCCTGACTGTCCTAGAACTCACACTATAGGCCAGGCTGGTCTCGAACTCAGAGATCCACCTGACTCTGCCACCCTAGTGCTGGGATTAAAGGTGTGGGCCACCATTGCCTGGGAGTTTTCAAGACGTTATGTTAAAATGTTACTTGAGGGGCCTAGGAGATGGCTCAGTGGATAAAGCCAGGACACCCAACATCCAGGTAAGTAGCAGGTGGGTGTGGCAGCCTCTCTATAACCCTAGTACTTGGAAAATGGAGATAGGATTTTCTGGAACAAGCTGTGGGTTCAGGAGACCCTGTCTTAATATATAAAGTGGAAAGAGCGAAAGAAGACAATTGACATTAACTTCTAGCCTCACATATACACATACAATGTACACACACAAGCAAACATACTACATACACAAACACATGGGGAATAAAAGAGAAACTTTACTCCATATATATATACATATATATATGAATTAAATGTTTCAGAGTCAAAATGAGCCACACTGAGGGAAGAACAGTGAGCTGGGGAGACAGTGTGGGTTTGCAGTAGCTCTAGGGCTCATCTGAAAACTCCTTGCCTTATGAGTAAACACACAACAGATTAGACTCAGGCTCCCCAAAGATGTTACACATTGAACAAATCATTTGACATTCTGCTGATACATTTGCAATGAAGACAAGGAATTCTAACATTTTCTGTTTATGGAGTCCTGCCAGTAATTAAAGTAACCAATTAATATTGCTATCAAGTTTTCACAATGGCTAGATAGAGCAAGCAAGTATCGCCTATAAGAGGTATGGGTGAGGAAACACCTAAGTCTCTTCTATCCTAATTGTCACCTCTGTTTTCAATTACATGTCAAAAGGGTTCAGCCTCGAGGCTCTCAACATGTCCAGTCCAAGTCTAAGCCAGTAGGGCTGCACACGCTTTTTAGAAGAGGAGGGTCCAAGTCTGAGGTTGGGCTATGGTAGACTTAGTCAATATTGCATTAGGGAACACAAGCACAGAATTTCTTATTGGGAGAATGGAGGCTGTTGGATCCAAAGCTCTCTGGGAGAATTCACAGTTCATACCTGACACCATGATTTCAGCCACTAATGTGTGCGGGGACTCTGTGATGTTATCTTCTGGTACTTCAGCCTTAGTTAAGTTGCCCAACGATGTTGCCTCTTTGTTTAGCTCAGTGTTGCCACCTGAAGGACAAAAGGCTCTATTAGTTAAGCCTCTCAATCTCAAGGAAAGTTTGATTTAATTTACATTAATAGCAGCTCATTGGCTATGAATTCAGATTCGCTTTAGTAAGTCTGAGGGGATTGGGCAGGGTTTGGTGGAGTCAATGGGGAGAAGCATGGGGTTCTTTTGGATAAAGAACAATGCTCACATGTCATCACATATCAGACTCCTGAATACAATCAGCTCAGAACCACAGGCCACAACAACAACATCTCTCCCCAACCTGTCTTTTTTTTTTGTTTGTTTGTTTTTGGTCTTTGGTTTTTGGGGTTTCTCTGTGTAGCTCTGGCTGTCCTGGAACTTGCTTTGTCTACCAGGCTGGCCACAAACTCACAAAGCTCCTCCTGCCTCTGCCTCCCAAGTGCTGGGATTAAAGGAATGCGCCACCACCCAGCTGCCAATCTGTCTTTTGTATTAGCTCCTCCCTTTGTCCTGCTTTGGTATTTATAATAGCCGGATTTAACCGTATTTTTAAAGTTGATGTGTATAGCAAGTCCTATAGTGACACAGGGCTCAGTGTCCCCTGAGAGGAAGAGATGGAGTCCCCAAGGCGGCACTTTGCTCAGTTGTGCCACAGAGACCCCTGGGTGCCACTGCACAGGATTCGCTGTGCCAGGGCCCCATGCGCCACAGTAGAAAGCTACTCTTTCTGCCATGTGCGCATTGATATTGAGACAGCAAGGCAGTGGGGGGAAAGATAAAGGTGCCATATAACACAAGCAAAGGCAATGACACCAGTGTTCACCAGGAGCCGAGGACTCCACTACCCAGTCTGTGCCCTCACCGTAAAAACAAAAGTGTAATACAGCAAGTATTGCTGATTTTTAGACCCCTTGGCCATTAACTCTGGAACTTCCCTACGCTATGTAATAAAATGAGTGACACACATTATTCCTACTGAAGTTACAATGGTTGCCTGAAGAAGCACGCAAGTCACTTTTGAGTTGGGAGTTGAAATCTTCCCTCTCTCCATTCAACATGATTAATCTAAGAGAAGGATGGGCAGCAAACCATGGGTGACCGGTAAGACTTTCCTCACAAATGAATGAAAGAAACAGCTGGCAGCATCACAGGTAAGTTTTAAGAAACGAAGGCCTGGACAGTTCTGACAGCCGAAGAACAATATTCCTCCAAAAGGTGTCAAATGGTAACTGTTAAGTGACACTCCGCCCCCCAACGCCATGCCTTTCCAACTTGGAGCTTCTCAGAGTCATGTGTGTTTCACAGCCTTCAACCAACCAAAGCAACACAGAAGTAGACTCTAAGCGATACTCAGTGCTGTCTGTTCTGCGAGACTTAAAGACAGACATGTAAAGCAATGCCTCTCTTCTCACTATAGATTTTTAGTGTTGGAAAAAATACATAGCTATTATTATAAAATATGCTGTGTTGAGAAATATTAAGTTTATTATTAATATCATTGGAATTAAGATAAAAATTTTCAATATCCTAAGAACTGATATAGTTCACATATACAAAAACCCTTTGGGGAATCTTAAAAAGCCTTTTAAGAGCATAAAGGAGTTCTGAATCTAAGAAGTATGAAACTATTATCCTAAGGCAACAGATTAATAGGGAGAAAATGTCTGCGAACACAATATCCAACCCCATTCCATGAACAGTTATCAACCTGTCACTTAACTTATATTTATAACATGCATACCAAATAATTATGCACTTTTTAAAAAGGTTTAACAAAATATAAATTATCCTTGGCACATTTTTGGGAGGAAGACACAAAAGGTGACTCCAGATATGCCTCGCTTGGGCATGCACTGAGGGTAGATAGGTCGTATGTCAGGCAGGGCTTACTCTCCCCCTCCCCCACCCTCTGTCTCTCAGCTATCAGCAGCCATCTTACCCCCTACACTTGCTTGATACTGTAGAGTTGTTTCCATAAAGGACTCAAGGTTTCCTATTAAGACTATAGTGTGGGGAGGAGATTGCCTTTCAGAACCCTTAAAATTAAGAACATAGCGTCTCTAAACAAACTGTCTCTAAACATCGTTATGAGGTGGCACAGTGCAGACATTTATTTCTAAGGCCCAGCTCACCCCACTACAAATAGGGGAGAATGTGAAGCTGAAAGCCTCTACAATTAGAAGTCAGTCTAATTCAGTCTATAATAAGGAACAACAGCAGCAAAAAACTCACAGGGGAAGGGTGAAGAAGCCCAGACACACTCAGCATTCCTGGAGACATGGGGGCACTTAATAATACAAAACACCATCAAAAGCAGAAGCATGGATGTCCCACTGTATGGAGCCTGGGTGAGGTAATTCAGCTGCACAGTATGCTGTTACCAGCCAGTATGTAATTACCGTTCTGAGGAAGGCACATTTTCCTATCCGGAGCTTTCACAAAACCTCCACGACACAAACACTGAGCAGTTCCGAAGCTCTCTTGGCAGATATGTTCACAGCCACCATTCTTGTGTAAGCAGGGATCTGCACCTAGCAGAGAACAGAGAATGTGTGGATGGGTCTGGAGAAGTCAAGGATGCTGCGGATGCAAATCAAAGACATCTTCAGTGAGAACGCAGTCATTCTAAATGGAAAGGGTGCCTAGAACACTCTCTCGCGGGAGTTCCTGCAAGGAGGCCCTGATTCTAAGACATCTCAGAATGGTGTTAGCTTATGAGTATTGCTGAGCATAGTCAGTAGTTTAGTCAGGTATGATTCCTATTTCCTGATCCTCAGTTTAGTCAAACTCATAAAGGTCTGCGGGAAGAGGAGCTGCTAGAGAGAGCTGGATGACTGACGCTTGGCTTGCTGCCAGCTGCTGCTCACTGCCTGGCACGTGGGGGTGACAGGAGCCCAAGCACAGGTAGAAGTTTGCACTGCAAACTATAAGTTGCCCGAATCAATAACTATTAACATATCGATTGTTTCTATTTGGTACTAAGAATTCCAAATAAGACTTTCTTTCAACTGGGTTGTTTATACTTTGTGGTAATCTATATCTATTTCTAATATCATATCATATCTATCAATCAATTAACTATTTTTCTTTCTATCATCTATATCTATCTATCATCTACCTATATTTATATCTATCTATATTTATAACTATTTATCATGTATTTATATCTATTATCTATGTATCATATCTATCTATCTATCTATCATCTATCCACTATGAAAAGAATCTAAATTGCTTATCTTTATTGCTGTAATAGTGCAGCAAGTAAGTAAAACGGAGCAAGGGGAGGAGTGCGCCTTGTGGGATAAAGCCCAGATGACTAAAATCGCCGTATTAGGGGTGAAGCACAAATTACCAAACTACCAAGCTTGTCTGGGTTGATTCAAACAATGCCCAAATCTCAGAAAAATCTCAGCATTTATGCAGACAGATGAAAAAAATCACAAAATCCCCTCCACCCCCACTGCCTGCTACCATTGGTTATCATGGCCACAGTCTCCGGTGCAGGAGGGCCTGTGGGACTTCTCCAGTGTACCTGGTTTTGCCAATGGATGGACCACAACCAGTGACGAGGGCTTCAGCATGCTGCCTCGGAGACGTACCCTATTTTGGCCAGTCCTCTTGTTCACCCTTATTACCGATGGGATAGCCCAATCCGAGAACCACACATGATCCTCAAACACAGCTACAGCAAATGGGTGACCTGGAAGCAATTAAAAGCCCACTCAGTACAGATAGGTTCCCTTCACAAGGGGGCATTTATAAGGAGACAAATCTCAGAACCACCACTCTACATCATGGACAGCTGCTGACCTACAAGGGTCTTAACAGCACTGGGGAGGAGGCCAGTGAAGGAATGTTTTGTGCTCATCTGCCAGAGATTGAGCTTGAGTGTGTTTCCTGATGCTCCTTGGTCTGGGTTCCCCTGTCACTTGAATGGCTGTTGTGAGCAGTAGAATAATTTAGGTGACTGAACAAGTGTTATTCGAAATTGCCATCTCCATCACCGTATTCCAGAGTTCATCTCCATCACCGTATTCCTGAGTTCATCTTCATCACCATATTCCTGAGTTCATCTCCATCACCGTATTCCTTAGTTCATCTCCATCACCGTATTCCTTAGTTCATCTCCATCACCGTATTCCCGAGTTCATCTCCATCACCGTATTCCTGAGTTCATCTCCATCACCGTATTCCCGAGTTCATCTCCATCACCGTATTCCTTAGTTCATCTCCATCACCATATTCCTTAGTTCATCTCCATCACTGTATTCCTTAGTTCATCTCCATCACTGTATCCCCGAGTTCATCTCCATCACTGTATTCCCGAGTTCATCTCCATCACCATATTCCTTAGTTCATCTCCATCACTGTATTCCTGAGTTCATCTCCATCACCATATTCCCGAGTTCATCTCCATCACCTGCTCCATCCCAAGTTCCTGTCTCCTGGCTGCTCTACTCTTACACATCATCATCCTTCCTTACTTCTCCCAGACCAACGCTGCCAAGAATGACTCCATCTCTTCATATTCACCTTCCTTCCCAAGCTCAGCCTCTTGGCAACCCATCTCTGTACCAATGGCTCCCCCCCCCATCCCAATAGCCTGTATCTTCCCTGCTGTGCTGAAGGGAGTTTTTTTTTAAAATAATTTGTTTAACTTTATTTTATGTGCACTGGTGTGAAGGTATCAGATCCCCTGTAACTGAAGTTGCAGACAGTTGTGAGCTGCCATGTGGGTGCTGGGAATTGAACCCTGATCCTCTGGAAGAACAGCCAGTGTTCTTAACCACTGAGCCATCTCGCCAACCCCTGAAGGGAGTTTTTTGAACACCTATGATCTGCTGCCTCCATTTCCATAGTTCTTATTGACCATCTAGTAGGTTACCTTCTGAGCCCTCTTCAACCCAAAGCCCTTCTGCAGGCCCCTGGAACTACTGTGAGCAGGGATTCGAGCACAGGTAAATGCCACACACTGTCTCAAGCAGTTAGACACCAGAGTGAAGGAGACACATTCAGAAGCCTTGGACACTTTCATCATGCTTCCTCACATTCACCAGTCAATGCATTTGGAGCAGTGAAACGAATGTCTCCCCCGTGTGGTGGGAAACTCAAGTGACTTGTCGTGGCCATGGAGAGTGTCCTCCACTTTACAACTACCAACCAGCCTCACGAGAACAAGGTGGAACAGGATTTCTCAGAGACTAAGGGGAAGTTGGCACAGAGTTTCAGGTTTTCAAAATGCAAGGATTCCAGGGACTGGTTACATAGCAGTATGGGAGTACTTAGCCCTGCTGGATGGAACATGGAGGCTAAGGCGGTAATTCTGTATATGTGCTTTCTAAGCACAATAAAAAGAACAGCAGTCATGTAAAAGAAATCCCCATGCTGCTGCATGTATAGTTTTCCTCTGGGGTGAAGGACTAGAGACTGGAATGAATACTGCCTACTCTGGATTACCTCAAGCCTGTGGGAATGTCCAGCTATTTGTCTTTAGTATAAGTCCCTCAAGTTTGTCCTTGAAGCATGTGTTAGAATTAGCTACGATGTTTCAACAGACACATTAGTCACACTCTTCCTTATCTCAAGGCAAAGAGCCACAATTAACTGCACTTCAATTAAAGATGAATTCATTCAGTCTTTTCATTAAAAATTCTGAGCTGTTGGGGCTGGCCAGGAGCATGGGCTACTAAAACAAGGATTCAGATTAGAATCTCAGTACCGACATGGTACCTCATGTCTGTAATTCTAGTTCCACAGGACACAACGCCCTCTTCTGGCCCACCACCGACACCAGGCATACACGCTGGCAAAACACCTATACACATAAAACTAAAAGAAAAAGAAAATCCTAAACTGTCAGTTAAGAAAACACTACATATATTGCAGTAGATGGCGCTCTAGAGTAGGAATGATTAGACAAACATAACATTTAATATTGCTTTTCAGGAGAAAATTGAACTATTTAGATTGTAATAGCACTTGCAATTACACAATATATGTTAAAGGGCTAAGGGTCTACCTCAGCTGATGAAGTGCTTGTCTGTCCTGTACAAAACTCTGTTTAGTCTCCAGCACCATCTAAATTGGGTATGGGAATATTCCTATCATCTTTTCCCATGTTTTCAACTGACATTCATAAATTCCTGAAGGTAATATTGTCATGGTTATGGAAGATTTTAAGAAAGAAAATTTTATTCTGAAATAAGTTCAGAAAAAGGTAAGATTTTCACTTTTATTTGGGAAAATATTGGATTATACAACATTAATTTTTACTCATTATTCCAGTGCTCAGGTAATCTTTCTATTTTACAATTCTTGAAGAATTCTATCTCTGTAGTCTGGTTAAGTGTGTATACATGGAAGCACAGTCTAGATTTAACATCCATCAGTACTCAATTAAGATGAAGAGGTAAAAGTCAAGAGAAAGTACTGCTACTTCAGGAAATCTGTTTTGGGTTTCCAGTATCTGCATCCACCTATAGCTCCAACTCCAAGGGACCTGGCACCCTCTTCCGGCCTTTGTGGGTACCTGCACTCATTTGCACACATTCCCAAATGCATACCTATGTCACATAATTTCAAAAATAATGGAATGACAAAAAGAAAGATGAAAAATAATCATGTACCCCAAAGTCTCACCTACATCGTTCTGGGCAAGTCTTCGGCGTTTGGAACCATCCAGATTGGCCATTTCAATCACAGACTGCTTGGTGTCACACCAATACAAAGTGTCTGTTAAGTAGTCAATTGTGATTCCACTGGGCTCCCACAGACCAGAGCTGGCTATCAGCAGCCGGCCAGAACCCTGAAGGGAAGAGCTTTCAATCCGTGGATACATCCCTGTGTCCGTCCAGAATAGTCTCCTTCAATCAAGAAAACTCACAAGTTAAATTTGTGTGAAAAACTCTTCTATTCTTTCAACATTGAAATGTCACTATGAATCACTTTAGGGAGTAAAGAGTGATACACTAAGCAATATACAGGGAGAAGATACAGAGCAGCATGCTAAACAATTAAAAACAAAAATGACAATCCTCAATTATCTCATCTGTAGAAAGCATCATGGACAAAACATGGTCTCAGATCATTAGATGGAAAAGGAGTTGATATTTAAAATTGTAGAATATTACTAACCAAATTTGTTCTTGAATGAACAGTATTAAATTAACAGCAAAATGCAATCAATTTGATACCTCACTTTTTTTCCAAGACAGCGTTTCTCTGTGTAGTCCTGGAACTCACACTCTGTTGACCAGGCTGGTCCTGAACCTAGGCATCTACCTGCCTCTGCCTTCCAAGTGCTGGGATTAAAGGCATGCACCATCACTGTCCAGTTTGGTAGCTCATTCTTATATTATGCAGATATTAAGCTACAATAAAGGAATATTGTGTATACCTGTTTCCTAGATTTATGCAAGGTGCTGTGCCTACTAAGATAATTTTAACTTTCACAAACTAGACACATTTTTTAAAAATATCAATATGGTTTAGTATCTAGTTGACTCATTTGGAAATGGGTTCTCATTGTTTTAACCATCTGATTGGCTCCAGATCAGTTATTGCCACTACCAGCACATTGTCCAGAGACTACTATAAAATTCCCATAAAAATAAAACAGAATCAGCTATCTTTTTGCTTTTTAGCAGCTCTGAAGAAATTCTCCTTAATTCTTCACCCTCAAACCAGAATGTGATGCTAATTCATGGTTAGTAGCATAGAATCTACCACACCTTCATAATTCATATTTCTGCTTATCTAGTTCTAGGAATGACGTATCATTTGAAGTCATCTTAAGGTTTTTCTAAATAGAGTTGATAAATCAACACTCCTAATTTCATTTTCTTCTCAATAAAAAACAATTTTTAAGTTTTTTAAATGTATGTATATGAGTGTTTTGATATGTCTATATGTAACATTTTATGCCTGATACCTGTGGAGGCAAAGAAGTTACGCGCCCTCCTGGAACTGGAGTTGCAGATGGCTATGAGCTGTGTGAGTACTGGGAACCAAACTGGGGTCAGTGCTCTTAACCACTGAGTTATCTCTCCAGTCCTAACAACACAAGATTTTTAAGGAAAGTAGACTCATAGACTTAAGTCTAATTGGTTAAAGAGGACTGAGAGCTGAGAAAGGAATGATGTTTTGAACACAATTTACAGATCTTGGCTTTTGACTTCACTGACCCCCTACAGTCTTAGCACAAACTTGAGCATATTAGACATCAGCATGGGCATGAGAATCTTAGATATGAACATCTTAGACATGGGCATGGGCATGAGCATCTTAGATATGAACATCTTAGACATGCGTGTGGTCATGAGCATCTTAGATGTGAACAGGGATGCAAGCTCAGCATTTGGTGCCTTCTTTTCATAAATACCTACTTGGCCTTTGGATGTACCACTATTCCTCGTGGCTTTGAGATGTTCTCCTTGATGATTATTTGATGATGCTTCCCACTCAAATCACTGCCTCCAATGAGAGACTTCCTATTTAAGTGGAGAAGTAGTATGTCAACATGACTATTCAAGTAAAACTACTCCTTTTCTCATGCTGCTACATAAACATGTTCTCTCTCTCTCTCTCTCTCTCTCTCTCTCTCTCTCTCTCTCTCACACACACACACACACACACACACGCTCATAAAGTTAGCACCAGCAAGCCCTCCAAGTTCTATTGATTTAAATTCCAGCCAGGCAGTGAGAACACACGCCTTTAAACCCAGCTCCTGGGAGGCAGAGGAAGGTGGATTTCTGAGTTGGAGACCAACCTGGTCTACAGAGAGTTCCAGGACAGTCATGGCGACACTGAGAAACCCTGTCTCAGAAAACCAAAACCAACCAAACTAACAAACAAAAAAAAAAACCCCAGCTAACTAGTACCCCATATCCATCCCAGGCACAGGATAGGGTAAAGGAGACTGTGTCAGCAGCCTGGCAGAGATAAAGCCCAAGTGTAAATATTTAGCCTCCTTTACTTCACACCCTCCCATCTCCTGCTGGAACTCATGGAAGCCAGAGACTAGGAGGCCAGAATAGTAGGTTACAGACAACGGGGAGGAGGGGACAAGCCAGCATAAGGACAGCAGGGGAGAGGTGCATGGGCTTCAATTTTCTTCCGCACTGCTGTAGGCAGATGGGGTGTACTGGTCTGCCCTCTCCATCGCGTCGTCTCCCACGGTTTCAGTTCCTTGATATCCATAGTCTCCTCTCCGCTGGCAGGAGGGAAGGGATTTCAAAGGTGTGACGGGGTGACAGAAATCATCCTCTCTGATCTCACTGTTACATCACGTACAAATTTCAACCACTTGGAGCAGTTATGCAATGAGCTCCCCACACCGCCGGTCAGGTCAAGTAGAAAGCAAAGCTCAGACCCCAGGGACAAGCAAAGACCCAGGGACAAGTTACATTTGTTGTGATCCCCCACAGGATGGGAAGAGTCACCCACCAAAAGTCCCCCAGAGAACAAGCACTGTGTATCTTTACCTTTATGGTCTAACCAACTTTAGGAGTCAGAGTTCCTTAATATTAGCTAATAATTGTATAGAATTATCAGTGTTTCATGCACACACACATGTGTCTTTTTCTCAACCAATACAGCCACCCCACCCCTTGATTTTTCATTGACTTAGAGTTGTCATGTAATCTAACACCCAGGATTAAAGTCTCCGTTATTTAAATCAGATTTCCAGCTAATATCAAGGTTTTTAAACTACAAGCCTCTCATTTCCAGACAAATGAAAGGTTTTGTTTAAGCAGCTGTCTTTAGCGGGGAGAGGACTTAAGAAGGTTTGTTATTGCTGAAGTCACTGTGCAGGAATGGGAGGGCTGGTTCTGCAGCCTCCAGCTCTGCCCAGCTACCTCCTAAGGCACTACCTGGGCAGGAGACACTAATCACACACTGGTGAAATTAGAGGTGCCTCCTGAATGGGGGGAATGAGGAGAGAACTGCCTCAGAGGAGCAGGGAGCTGTTGACATCTGCGGTCCTGATGAGCGTTTACACTTCTGAAAACAATCACATACTAGCCCTGTTATTACCTAAGCTGACACGGAGAACATGCTTTTAAGTAGACTCAACACGGTGAAGGCTGTGATTATGATGGCTACAACTGATTGGGCGGGACTTGATTTCAATTTGTTGCGTGACTCTGGGTCTCACCCATTCTGATGCTGAGTGGAAGAGACAGGACCTCTCTCTGAATGTTTTGTGGTGCTGGTGGTATTTTCGCTCGAACCCTGGACCTTCACACATGAAGTACATCCTAAGCAGCACCCCAAGATCAATTCTGTGGTGACTCAGGGAACCCTGAGTTCACTGCTTAATCTTGGGAAAGTTATTTTAGCACTCTGCTTATAAATTTTCTTGGTCTTTAGAGATAAGAAAGCAGACCTCTCTGGGACTCCATAGCATCCTGGATGGAACACACATAGTGTAGTATCTGATGTACTGCGATTATTTAATAGGCAGATACACAAACAACAATGAAGGATGAAAGCAAAGCTAAAAAAGCAAATAAAGATGCACACTACACTGTACATCGGCTCACTGTGAAGAAGCTGTTTGTTTCCTATAGCCAGAGATGTTCTGTACACCCACAGCAGAGCGCGGGCACACAAGCCTGTTCCCTGGGACTCTGCTCTCTGAGCTGGAGCTACTGTTCTCCCAGATGTGAAACCCTGATTCATTTTCTTTTCATTTAACATGGCTGCACAGGTCCCAGATGTTCAGATGGTCACCATTCACTCCGTGGTTTTCAATGACTTGGAAAGAAATACTCTAAACCACACGGCGTCTCTCATATCACCTTGTGAGAGAGTCTGGCTCATGCTCCTCTCCCAGAAACAAGCAAGTGGGCTCTCTTTAGCACCACACAGGAGGTAGCCCCTTTCCTCACCTACCCTCCTCCTGACTGGTTCAGCTTGTTCTCAGGCTCACACAGGCCACAGGGACAAAGGGAGCCTAGAGGAAAGAAATATCCCAACTTCGCTCTTCTTGTTTCCCACCCTATCCAACCTCAGAACATGTCTTTCCGTCTCCAGGGACCCTTCCACTCTGTCCTTCATGCCTGCTCAGCAGGAGTCAGCACTAGGATTTTAGTGCAAGACTTGTCACTTACATGCTGTGTAAACCACCCGAAACAACCTCAGTCTGTTTGGGCCCTATGTTCTTCACCTGTAAAATGAAGGGGTTGGGCCAGCCAAACCTATGGCAATGTATGCCTTTCTTTCCTTTGGCAACTGTTTCTGTGTGGCCTGATACTTCTACTAACGCTATTTACACCAAGCACTTGCATTCCTTTTTTAATGAGAAAATTTGCCTTTTCTTTTCAGGTAACCTTAGAGTTGACTGCAAAGGCAGCTCCCATTCCCTCCTTTAGCTTGTCTTCTAGGGGATGCCTAGGAGACAGCTTTATGCAAAGCAAACGCTTCCTGACAGTGCTTGGGCTACACTGGTGACAACCGTCTCAACTGTAAAGGCACACATCACGTTCTTGGTCCTTGAAATCCTTGAATCGCTGTGGACTCTGTCCCATGAAAGGAGAGGCTTGCTTGCTTGGTGGTGGAAAAGAGTGAGGAGCACAGACAATGGATCTATCTGTCTCTCATCCTTGCCAAGTGGCCAGCTGTAGTTTTCTACATTCAGAGTAGACAATAAAGCCAGCAGTACCTCATGTTCTCGTGCCTCCATCTCCTGCAACATAAAACTAAAGCAAGAAACCTACCCACTGTCTGTCCAGTAGATTCTGCGGCCGATCCAGTCCACAGCAAGGCCTTCTGGAGTGTCTAACCCTTCCTTGATAAGTCTTTCTCTCTGGGAGCCATCCATATTAGCTCTCTCTATCCACTTCAGGACTTTCTGTGCAAAATATATCTGTAAAAGAGAACTATGCATTTTCTGATTTGTTTTATAACTATTAATGTAGAATATACATAAAGGCGGTTAACAGGTCTTCAGGTCATTCAATGAAATTATTATTGGAGACAGACATCATCTACAATAAACCCCAACTGTGCTACTCCTGAATATGTGTAACCTTAGGCAACTTAATCTCTGTGTGGTGATTTGAATAAGAATCGACGAACCCCATAGGCTCATACATTTGAATGCTTGGTCACCAAGCAATGGCCCTATTAGGAGGTGTGGCCTTGTTGGAGTTAGTGTGTCACTGGCGGTGGGCTTTGAGGTTTCACATGCTCAAGTCAGGCCTTAGTGTCTCTCTGTCTTCCTGCTTCCTACCAGTCTGTAGAACTCTCAGCTATCTCTCCAGTACTATGTCTCCATGTGTGTTGCCATGTTTCCTGCTATGCTGACAATGGACTGAACATCTGAACTCTAAGCCAGCCCTAATTAAATGTTTTGGTTTTTTAAATAAGAGTTGCTGTGGTCATAGTGTCTCTTCACAGCAATAGCACATTGACTAAGAGAGAACTTGGTACCCAGTGTCTCTCTCTCTTTCTGCTGTCTGCAGATCCAGATGTAGAACTCTCAGCTCCTTCTCCAGCACCATGTCTGACTGAATGCCTCCATGTCCCACCATAATGATAGTGAACTGAACCTCTGAACCTGTAAGCCAGCACCAATTAAATGCTTTCTTTATAAGAGCTGTCGTGGTCATGGTGCCTCTTCAGAGCAATAGAATCTCTAACTAAGACAGACTGCCTCTGTCTCTGTCTCTGTTTCTCTCTCATACACAGACACACAGACACACAGACACACACACACGCTACCGTGGTAATTTAGTTATTTTTGACTACTGGTCAATGATATAGCATTTGCGCTCAACCCTTAGAAGTTCCTTCTGCTGGAGAGAAAGCTGTGATTTGCAACTGAATGAAGGATACAAGCTGAGTTGTATCTTCATTGGTTCAGCCCCCAGCATGCCACTTAAGGTCAATTAGGAAAATTTGGATGCTCTGTCATTTTTACCACGTACTTACTTAACTGCTTCGATTTTCTAGACTACAGAAATGAGGACATTAGATCAGATACTTATTAAAGTTCCTTCCATCTGGGGTCATTCATCTTGCCCAACCCTGCAGGTACAAAGTACTTTCTAGGCCAAAGATGCAAGCTATGGAACAGACTATGCTGCTTCCAAAGATGTGTAAACATAAATGACTTAATCTCTCTCTCATACAAATTACCTGAGGACCCTGTTAAAATGCAGGTTCTACTTTTGGGTGGAGCCTAGAATTCTGTAGTTGTAATAAGCTCCAGATGAACCAAAGACCACAGTTTGTAGCAAGAAAACAAGAACACTAATCAGAGAATGACAAATGGCCACCTGACTTACAGTTTATTCTCGCTTCTGTAAATGATGCTATACTTTAGGCCAATATTTCCACGTAAGCATAAAGCTTGTTTCCTGATTTTCACAGTTCAGAAGTCATTAAGTCACCTTTCCCCGTGACATATATCAAATGCCAATTACTAACTCATGCTTCTTATACACCAGCTCCAACCCACCGATGATGGGGGATGTCCTTCTGAATGCTGTGAATATATGTTTCTCTTATTGGTTGATGAATAAGTGCTGATTGGACAGTAGCCAGGCAGTAAGTATAGGCAGGGTTACCAGACTAGGAGACTGCCAAGAAGAGGAAGGAGAAAGGAGTCACCAGAGAGACACCATGCAGCTACTGGGCAGATAGGACGCTGGGCATTCTCTGGTAAGATGAGGTCTTGTGGAAATACATAGATGAATAGTTATGGGTTAATAATTAAGAAAGCTAGCCAGTAAGAAGCCTGAGCCATTGGCCAAACAGTTTATAATTAATATAAACCTTGATGTGTTTATTTGGGACTAAACAGCTGTGGGACTAGGCAGGATAGAAACTCTGTCTATACATTCTCCTCCCGCTGCTAGAAAAAAAAAACCAAACTACTCATGGGGCATCTTCTGTGGGCAAAGCTTCATGCTAGTCTCCCACCTGCACCTCCAGAGAGGAAAGTGAAATGAGGACGCTGCACAATCTCCCCAATAAGACGGCTAAAAGGGACTGGGCAGGGCTATCAAACACGAGAGAGTCCTCGAGGCTCCTCCAATGTGTACATTTAACTTGCTCCTGTCTGGTTATTGTGAGCAGGCAGAGGATTTTCAAGCAGCGCAGGTCATCAGTGAAGCTAAAACCCCCAGTCATTTACAGCACCTTCTACCTGTTCATGCAAAATTCAAAGTGTACCTTGTTTTCCACCGGATCATAATCTAGGGCAAGAACAATTCCCATCTGCCGACTGAGCAGAGTTCGGTAGTCTGTTCCATCGAAATGCATGTGTCGGATATCTTGAGAATTTGCAAACAGTAAAAATGGCTGCGGTCCTGTTAACCAAATGTCATACATGGCTGAATTTAAAATACACTTTAAAACCCATGGCGCTTCCGAATCTTGCCTTTCACTGACCATCTCCTTTAATCCCTGCAGTACTGGTTTGCTCAGTTCCCCAACAGTGTGATGTAGGCAAAGACTCCATCTCTTTGTAGGCGTCACTGCCAAGATTTCATCCCTGGGTCCTTACTTATAGAAAGAGCAAGATTAAATAACCCAAACCAGCCCGGCGGTGGTGGCGCACGCCTTTAATCCCAGCACTCGGGAGGCAGAGGCAGGCGGATCTTTGTGCGTTCGAGGCCAGGCTGGACCGATAGCCTCCGAAACAATACAGAGAAACCCTGTCTCGTAAAAAAACAAAAAAAACAAAAAAAAAAAAGAAAAAAAAAAGAAAAAAAAAAGAAAAAAAAATAACCCAAACCACAGACAAATGTCTCAAGTCTCCTCGTTGTAACCTCCTTCATTCACATGTGTTGAATTCATCGATTAATTCTCCCTTTTGGGTACTCTTCTCAAAGGGAATCATGATTCCTTGAGTTTATAATGCCCTCTATCATCCTCCAGACTTATTATGTTTTATTAACAAAGACCTTGTGGAGTTAAGAGTGTTGGGGTCAGAATTAGGCAAGCTTCACAGAATCAGAATCATAGTATCTCCGATTATCAGTATAATCAACCTCAACAGACAAATCAATTTGACATAAATCTAGGATTCCCAAGGGTGGCAAAAGACACAAAAGATGTAATACCAGAAGATGAAAAGAAACAGTTGAAGCATAAAACTTCCCATTAAAGTTGAAAGACCATGACATAAGAAAGTGTTATGATTATTTATTACATTTACCAGCGAGATAAAAATAGAATCAATCTACAAATATTTATTAAACATCTCTTAACTAGAAAGCCCTTTAAAGCCAGCCTCATGATGGCCTCCTCATATACTAAAGATACTATACCCTGCTTTAAGTGGCTGGATGCCACCTAGTTAAGTGGGCATACATATTCTTCAAAAACTTTATTTATGTTATAATTACTTATATTATTCATAGTCATGGGATTTATTTCTCACTTCCAGCATTTTTTTTAAATCGTATTTCCTACCAAGAATCCAAAGGCAATTCAACTTGACATGTCTCTAATGTAACACTATTTTTACGTAATCTTTTTCAAGGACAGACTTTCAAACGGCCATGACACTAACCTGTTGCTGCACAGCTCTTTTGGTCCGACTGTAGGTCATACCCAGGAAAGCAACCACATTCCCAGGACACTGGGCTGAGAGGAAGACAGATCTGGCTGCATCCACCGTTATCAGGCGATGAACAACCTACGAAAACCGGCTGCTTGGTAATGATGTATCACACAAAATACAACACTTTCTCATAAAAGTACTCTGATGAACCAACTGTATTTTCCTTTAAACCCACTTTTTCAATCATTCATACTGCTGCCATCAACTTAATTTTCAGAGTTTACAGGAAAATGTCACAGTATCCACTTCCTCAGAACCCAGCACTTAGATGTTAACGCTTCACATTCCAATGGGCCTCGTCCTTTCGATCCATCACTGAGTTCAAGAACACAGGCACCGGCAGCCGGCTAGACAAAGAAATGTTCCTAACTCTTCCTACAGAGTGATACAGTTTTTCTGTCTCATACATTTTTTGGCCTCTTGACTTTTGCCTTTTTGTTTGTTTTGCTTCTCAACTATTTTAATTCAATTTATTTCCAATTTTAGACTTGGATTTATTCCATCAAATAATTTTTGCATGTTTTGCATATTTTATGTAAACTACTAAAAACTACTTAAAACTCTCCTGTTAATCTTGAGTTCCACCCAGATTTCTGTGTGCTTAAGTCTCTAAGAAGAGGAGAGCTGAGGGTTATTTGTTAGCTGCCAACAATATTCCCAACACTGCATTCACCTGGCGGCACTGAGATCGTATAAGCAGTTTATACCACACTGCTAGGAACTGCTAATGCTATTCCACGACTAACAATGTCAACGAATGTTACAGAAACCACTCCACTCTGATGTCTTAAAAAACCTCTCAAATTTGCATATTAATCTGTTGCATAAATGCCTTTCAGTATGTGATGACTGGAAACTCTAGTCTCTGCTTTGGGAATAAGGCTAACTTTTTGGTGTTTCTTAGGGAATTCATTTTGTCAAGTCACCAAAAGGCAAATAGACTCACCACTGCATGTTTTCCCGTCTGTTCCAAGCACTGAACCTTTGGGACAGACACATAGGGGACCATCTGATGTCAGAACACAGCCATGGCTGCATGCAGATGTGTTGCTTGGACAGGAATTAAGTTCTAGTCAGGGAACAACAAAGTCAAAATTAATGTTAAAATTGGGCAGTGAGAATTTGTGACAATCAGCTGCTACTCTGAAAGGAGAAAGTTGAATAAAAAAAATCTAACATTTATGAGATACCATAGTATGGAAAATATAAAAACAAGGAACAAAATATCAACCCAAAATATTTAAAGAGCGAGGATTTTAGGAAAATATCTCCAATCTTCTATGAGTTTCTCCTATTTCAAATAAGATTTTAAAAGTTGTTAGTCATCAGAATTCCAAAATATTTTATGTAGAATTCTACCAAGTAATTTTCAAGTTTTCCTGGAGGAGTAAAGACACGTGGTAGAAGTAAGGGCATTTTGTGTGTGATTACATGTAGGAATGGAAAAGAGAGGCTTTTAACAGCTACTAAGTCAGATGACAAATGCTTGGAGCCCAGCTCTTATGTGTGATAGCATGCCACTTCAGAACACTGGGAAATGGGAATGGGAAAAGACAGAGGATACTAGGGCAGGAATGGATAGACGACAAGACTCAGATATGGACAGACTCAGAATGGATAGACAAGACTCAGATATGGACAGACTCAGAATGGATAGGCAAGACTCAGATATGGACAGACTCAGAATGGATAGGCAAGGCTCCAACTGGGAATGATGCCACATACCTGTAATCCCAGCCACAAGAAGCTGAGGCAGGAAAACCACAAGATCAAGGCCAACCTACACAATCCTACCTAATGAGACTGTGTCGAAAACAAAATTAATAAAAATAAAACCTTCGAGTACAATAAGCTTGTGCTATAGGTGCTTGCTTAAATGGGTGAGCATGTAAAAGACTAACAGTGATACAGAACTAACTGCAGAGTGGTTTGGGTAAACTTAAGCCCTACTTTATACTTTGCACCAAAATTGATTCCAGTACAGTAAAAATTCAAATTGAAAGTGTGTATCATAAAGTTTCTGAGTGCTTTAAGAATGAAATAAAACTGTATATGCTGTTGTTGGCATATGATGGGCCCTATGGCCAGTCCATTTGCAGCCAATCTTTCAGGATATTTACTAATAGGCTCGAGGAAGTCTCAGACATGTAAAGATGATAGGTAATTTCCAAGTAGCTCATAATTTATTATCCATCAATTTCACCGAGTCTGGTTTCATAAACACAGAGGGATACAGACACACCTATTCTCCATCATCTTTGAAACAGGACTACATAATAAACATAATTTAAAACATGCATCTGTACATTAGTCATTTAGAGAGTAGGACCAGAAATTTTCTGAATATGCAATCCTAGATTTGCACTGGGGATACCCATAGATATTTACAATGTTTTCTGTTTCTTTTTTTTTTAGTAAGATGACCCCCAAACTAAGAAATGACTAATTCAGTAGCAAATTGTGTCCTCTAAATACAAATTTCCACATTTATCTTGCTTATACCGTAAGGATCCTGTCTTGGTTAAGCAAATTGTTAATGGCACTTCTCTTTATAGAAGCATTCTAGTTAATAATTAAAAACAAAAGAAACGACAAGACAGGAATATTACTTAGAAACTATGAAATATATTTAAAATGTACTCTGACCAAGAAATGTCAATGCTGAATCTAATGCAGTCTATAGATATAATTACAACTTTGTAGAATATTTCATGGACATTTCAAAAGCGTAATTAACAAAAGTTGCAAAGAAAAACCCTGGAATACATAAAAATAGTTAATTTAATGAATACAATACAAGGGGGCAATAAGCATCTGTAAGAGACAGGTGCATCAAGTTAACACTCACTTGTTCAAACAAACCCCTTAAGTACAGAACTTTTAAAAGATAATTCCAATGATCATTCTCTGTACACAAGCTCATGTGAACTTGAAAGTTTCATTTTTATCAATTTTTATTCAATCTCATAATAGAAAATAATAGAAAAAATGATACTTGTTGCTATAAAGAATTATTGTCAATTTTTGAGGGTGTGACAGTAGTATTGTGATTGTATCTAAAAACTGACAGATGTTACACTAGGGGACTGTGATGGTTTGAAACAAAATGGCCTCCATAGGGAGTGGCACTATTAGAAGGTATGGCCTTGTTGGAATAGGTATGGCCTCGTTGGAGGAAGTGTACCGCTATGGGGGTGAGCTTTGAGGTCTTCCATGCTCAAGTTAACTCAGGTACACAGCTGCTTCTGCTGCCTGCTGATCAGGATGTAGAACTCTCAGCTTCTTCTCCAGCACCATGTCTGCCGGCATGCCACCATGTCCCACCATGATGATAATGGACTAAACCTCTAAAACTGTAATCCAGTCCCGTTTAACAATTTCCTTTATTAGAGTTGCCATGGTCATGGTGTCTCTTCACAGCAATACAAAAAATCTAAGACAGGGATTATGGCTAATTTTTAGATGTAAAAATGTATCATGACTATTTATTACATGGCTCTCTTTTAGAGATACTTAATGAAATATTAGACAAAATGTTTATATAGTTTTATTTTCCTCACCCTGAACATTTTTGTTTTTGTTTTAATAGTCCTGTATTAGAATCTAGTTATGCATATGGTTGCTGGTTTTTAAGACAAAGTTCTGTGTAGCTCAGGCTGGTCTTGAACTTGTGGATTCTTCTGCCTCAGCCTGCAGGGATTACAAATTTGTACTACCATGCCCAGCTTCAGCTATCCATGTTTCATAAAGCAAAATGAAATGAAATGCCCAGGTAATTTTGATACACACTGCTAACTGAAGAGCACCAACTCAGATCATAGCCAGTTTAGGGACATTACTGGGAAATAAGGATGCAATAAGGACTTGCTGTGGCTTACCATGGCATCGTTTCCCATCAGGAAGCAGAACAAACCCTGCAGGGCATGTGCAGTAATAGGATCCCGGAATATTTTCACACCCAAGAGTACAGCCATGATTCTGAAAGGCACACTCATTGACATCTGCACAATGACAACAGCAACCCACAGTCAGATGACTATCCATGAAAGTAAATTGTGACATCCCTAATTAGCACAGAGAAGGGCACCTCATGCTTGCTTCTACTGCAACTCACCAAAGGAAGATTGTTCTCCAGTCGTCAGAGACAGTGACAGAAGTCAGCTTAATGGCCCTAGAAGCCGCTCCTATTGTGCCATAGTGACCTAGAGGGTGTTTTCTCAGATTTTTAGACTGGAATTGCCCTTTAATAAAAGTTAGCATATCGTCCTCTGAAAGCTAGGATCTCCTTTTTGTGACTCTGAGGATTGAACCCAGAATCCTTCGTGTGTTGTAAGCACCCTATCACAGAGTGTTCACGCCATGTCCACCACCCTCCTTTTTATTTTGAGAAAGGGTCTCCCTATGCCTCCATAGCCTCGAGTTCTCCTTGAGCTCACTGAGAAGGCCAGGCTGGCCCTGAACTTCAATCCTGCTCTGGCCTCTCATGAAGCTGGCATTAGAATATCTTAGCTAGTTTAGAATATTTCCTGTTCTGCATTTGATTTTTCTAAGGATGACCGCACCTCAAGAAAGACACTTCTCCAACAGTTCTGTTCTAACTGAAGTTCCAAGTTGGTACCCTCTACTTCTGGGACACAAGTCACATCATTAGCTCAATGGACACAAACTGGGACTTTAACAGCCATAGGATAGACGTGCCTGAATCCAGTTAAATCCTCTGAATGTGTGTGCCATTACACCTTCTAAAAAACAAAGAGTTATTTCTCCAGGGTTTATTATATTGGACCAGGAAGTTTCAAACAGGAGGAGGCTTAGAGAAGGAACCAGCTAGATTCAGTCTCCCAAGGTTCCTGCTGGATCTTGTGTGGGTAGGATGTGTGAGGAGTGCTCTCTGTGTAAGGAGTGAGGAGTGCTCTGTGTGTAAGGAGTGAGGAGTGCTCTCTCTGTGTAAGGAGTGAGGAGTGCTCTCCCTGTGTAAGGAGTGAGGAGTGCTCTCTGTGTAAGGAGTGAGGAGTCCTCTCCCTGTCTAAGGTGTGTGAGGAGTGCTCTCTCTGTGTAAGGAGTGAGGAGTGCTCTCTCTGTGTAAGGAGTGAGGAGTGCTCTCTCTGTGTAAGGAGTGAGGAGTGCTCTCTCTGTGTAAGGAGTGAGGAGTGCTCTCTCTGTGTATAAGGAGTGAGGAGTGCTCTCTCTGTGTAAGGAGTGAGGAGTGCTCTCTCTGTGTAAGGAGTGTGAAGAGTGCTCTCTCTGTGTAAGGAGTGAGGAGTGCTCTCTCTGTGTAAGGGGTGAGGAGTGCTCTCTCTGTGTGTAAGGAGTGAGGAGTGCTCTCTGTGTGTGTGTAAGGAGTGAGGAGTGCTCTCTCTGTGTAAGGAGTGTGAGGAGTACTGTCAATCTGATGGTAGTCGTGGAACTGCTCCTGAAAATATATAAAAATAAGAAAAGGATTGCTCTTCCTGATATTTTGCACAAAGTCAAACAGAAAGAGATGTATTGACTGCACTCAGAAAACCCTGGCCTTTCAGAGGACCTGGGTTTGCATCCCGGTACCTCCGTAGTGGCTCACATCCTTAACCCTAGCTCTGCAGAATCCCACACCCTCTGTGGTCTCCACAGCACCAGGCATGGACGTGGTGCATGTAAGTACATGCAGGTACTCAAACACACAGAATAAAAAGAGTGAATCTTTAGAAAAAGAAAACCTGGCCTTTAACAGTCCCTCAGCAACTTCCTAGTGAGCAGCAGAAGTCTATAAAAAGACCTCAGAATATAATAAAAATTACAGCAGGAGAAAAAGTCCTCTTCTGGAAAAGGAGAAGGGAGGGGAGGGAGAGAAGAAAGAAGGAAGCCAGGAGGAAGGAAATAGGAAGGAGTGACTTTTTTTTTCTTGGAGGCCTGGTCAGCCCTCTCTTCCCTAAGGTAAGTCACCAACAGTCATGCGCACATCTGCAGACCTCTTTGCACAGGTCCACAGGACAGCTTTAGGCGCATGTGTACTTTACCTTCGCAGTACTTCCCGTCTCGGCTTAAAGCATAGCCCTCAGCGCATGCGCACGAGTGGGACTTGGCATAGCGCTCGCATGGACTGTAGTGGCACTGTCCCCTTCTCTGTTTGCAAAGTTCCGCGTCTAAAACAGAAGACGTTTTATTTCAGAACAAGTGGAGATGACATTTTTTGACAAAGAGCCAGCTGGTGCCTCTATTGATTGCTGTGGGGCGAGGTTAATCTCCCAGTGACGTCACACCGGTGTCGCCCACAGCGCAGCTCCGCTCCAATCAGCCCGCACACAGCATCACCACACCCCCAGTGCCCAAGCCTCTGTGTTTGCAGAATCATAAGGCTCCTGCAGTCTCTCAGGGTCAGGGCATCCTAAGTAGCCTGACATGGTATCTCTTAGTCTGCAAACGAGCAGCGCTTTCATTTTGCTTTGCATTTGTATAGTGAAACTACACATACCATTTTTAAGAATTTAAAAAGCTTCACAGAATGCATTTTCTTGACTGAAATACACCTCAGGTCTGTCTGATACTTGGCTGGTTTTCTGGTCATGATTTAAAGAAAAGGGTTTCATACTTCATGTATTCCACTGACATGTGCCTTACTCCTGAATATTTTGTTTTATGACTGCTAGCGAAACTGATGCTTGAGATGAGTTAGCTAGAGCTGGGCTGAATTAACGTATAACTGGAGTGCTAGAGTCACGTTTGTGGTTATTAACCATAAACTGATGCTTAGGTTAAAGTCATTGTGATGACTAAATGGCTAACATGGTACGTTTACGTTTCAGAACCAGTGTCAAGAGTATCCCAGCAACATGTATCCCTCTTAAGTTAAGAACTTTGTCCATTTTGCCCCCTCCTACATTTTACCCATGTTACTTGTACGCCTTCTTGCTGTAGACATATAGGAGGAGGCCTACGGGTGAGTATAATTTTCAGAATACTAGAGCTCGGGAGATACGGGGAGAAAGATCTTGGGAAAGGAGAATGTCAAGAAAGAAGATTACAGATGGGAGTGGTGGCCCTGGCCTTTAACCCAGTGCTCTGGAGGCACAGGCAAGAGCATGCCTGGTGACACCCTATCTTAAAAAATAAAAAAAATTCACTGACAGAAGATAAAATTTGAATGAATTTAGTTAAGTGACTTCTTGAGCTTTTATTTGCAAACTGTAAATCCAGCAGCGTTTCCTCCATAGTTATGGAGAGATGGTTGCAGTGTTGTGTGTGACAGAACAGCTGACCAGAGTAGGAAGGAGGAAATGGCATGACACAAAGAACAGATTGGTTGGTTGGCTTCCATCCCCTCCCCCCCTTGTCAGAGTTAAAAGAGAAAAACCATATCTGGCTGTAGAAACTGAACTTGGGGGATTCGTCACTCTCCTGATTGCTCAGGTCAGACAAACAATTGGTGATGTGGGACATCATTATGGTTGGGTCTGTCCAGGACCTAGTACAGGATCTCACTAGGTCCAAGCTGGTCACCCCCCATGCATTTTTATTCAACATCAGTGAGAAATACAGGAAAAGAGATGCATGAATCTACACATTACAGAATCCAGAATGAGTCTGATTCCAGAATATTCAAAACACACTAGTAGAAACTCCCACCTACCGTATTTTGTGCTGTTTGCAGGTAACTAACTACTTTTAGCTAATCTGTCTCCCCCCCCATCAGCTCCCCCTCCCCCTCAGTGTTTCTCAGTGTAACCCTGGTCATCCTGGAACTCTCCTTGTAAACTAGGCTGGTCTTGAACTCAGAGAAATCTTATTTTTTTAAACATTTCTAATTTATTTTTTCAAATGTCTTGACAGAATTAAATGCACAGTCTTGCTAACTAGCAATACAAATCCAACTCTGTCTACTGGGTATGTTGAGTTTCATTGGATAGTCTTTTGAAGATTAATTCTAAATTTTTGTTTACTTTCTGTGGTTTTATGTCAGTTATGCACATATATTGTTCATATTTCTATGTTTCACATATGCTATCAAAAAATTAAGCAGTATTAGGGGCTGGGGATATAGTTCATTTGGTGGTGTGCTTGCCTAACATGCAGGAAGCCTTGGATTTGATTTCCAGCATAGCATAAACTGGGTAGAGTGGAGTACATCTGTAATCTCAGCACCCGGAGGTGCAGGCATGAGAAGCAGAAGCTAACATTCAAAATGCTGCTGCCATCCTCAGATAGCACTCCTTTGAGGAGTCCAGCAGAGGGCTTAACCAACCTCAATATCAATTATAGCTCCTACTGGTGGAGTTTGACGTCCACAGTCCACTGTGCAGTCAGTAGCTACCCGACGAGCACTCGGGCCCTCATGAGCTGTCCTCAAGCCCAGGAAGCCACAGTTGTTCCTATCCCAGCTCTACAGAAGGGCATATGGGACTCTCTAGCCTGCTCACCCCCACATCCTTCCCATTTATGTTTTAATTCTTCATATCAATCACCCCATCAACAAATCTCTTCTGGTCTTTTTCATCCAGGCCATTTACCCTAATGATTCTTATAACTAAATATTTGGCATTCCCAAAAAATTTTATAAAGTAAATTATGCAGCTTAACTTCAGAACAAACCCTTAGAATATTTCCAACAGTTTTACAGATTAAGAGAAGTTCATCAAGGATAAAATAAGGGTAGAACTTATTCAGGCTTCTGAATGTGGACTATACTTTTTATATGGAGTGTGTGTGTGTGTGTGTGTGTGTGTGTGTGTGTGTGCGCGCGCACACACACACGCGCGTGCACGCACGTGCGTGCATGGGAGCGTGCACGTGCATACATATTTAAGATGTTACAGTGTGTATAAATCTCTGTAAAACCTACATTTTGATTCACTTGTTTATTGCCCTTCTTATTAATGGGTTCTCATAAATAATTGCCCAAACTTCTTCAAAGATTTCCCAAAGCATCTAGTACAGTTTTTTCGGGGTAAGGGGCGGTCCTCTGTGAATCAACACGCAAAGAAAATACGAGAATTGCCACTTTGTGCTGCTGGAATTTTCAAAGGTGCTCCCCCCCACCCCTCATCTGAACAGGATTTGGCTACTCACTATTTTTATCCATCTGGATTCTTGTAAGAATTAGAAGTAAACCATGCAATGGCTTTGAAGCAGTTGAAAAATAAGTGCTTTGGGGCCGGGGTATAGCCAGTGCCAAACATTTGCCTGACATGCACTAGTTCCTGTGTTCAATTATCAGTAATAGGGGGAACACCTAGCATTTTATTCTTGTAATGCCCCTTCCTTTCTGACATGCCTGGACACCCCATAAGATGAAGGTATGGAATACACATGACTCTGCTCCTGCTGTCACCGCCCCCATTTTGCCCGTGTCTGCAGTGGCACAGTAGTCATTCTAAGCCCAACCTCAGCCTTGCTTTCCAGACCTCCAGCATCAGCATCGCCTCAGGGAGCGGCATGGTATTCATGTTTCCTAAGCAAGACAAGCCTCAAATGAGTTCCTCTGCAGTGTGATGTCCAGAGGATAGCAACAACCAATAGAAACACACTAACTTTGGGGGTGGAGGCTGGAGAGATGACTCAGCAGCTAAGAGCACTGGCCACTCTTCCAGAGAACCCAGATTCAATCCCCAGCACCCTCAAGGCGGCCCACAACTGTCTGTAACTCCAGTTCCAGGTGATATGACACCCTTACACAGACAAACATGCAGGAAAAATCCCAATGCACATAAAATAAAGTAAAAAGTTTTTTTTAAAGAAAAGAAACATGCCAATCTCTTTTAAAAACCAAATGTAAATTTATAAACTTATAACTTTTAAGTTGGGAAAAGTCAGTTTTGGGTGATACTGGGAAATTAACTTTTCATTCTGAAAATACATTTGTTAAGGGGCAGGATTAAGTTCTGAATTTGCCTTTCCTATAATTGCTCCTCCGAGCAATAACGTATTTGACTTGGAAAGATTCCTCTCTGTAGAAGAATTCTAGTTGGCCGGGCGTTGGTGGCTCACGCCTTTAATCCCAGCACTTGGGAGGCAGAGGCAGGTGGATCTTTGTGAGTTCGAGGCCAGCCTGGTCTACAAGAGCTAGTTCCAGGACAGCCTCCAAAGCCACAGAGAAACCCTGTCTCAAAAAACCAAAAAAAAAAAAAAAAAAAAGAATTCTAGCTGATAAGTGGTAAGCACTGTGGGAGTAAGAATGCCTTCACTCTGCACTCTTAGTTTAAAAAACAATGGCGACAGAAAAAATTAAAAATACAATGGTTCTAGGGTCATGGGCACTAATTAGCAGCTTCTAAAGCCATTGTGCAAAGGACTGAAGGGGGATTTTACAGATGATGGACCAAGCTGGCAACTTCTGACCTGCTGGTTACCCAGAAACAGAGTGGGAGTGGCCCCTGCGTGTCCCTAAACTGGTACCACAGGAGGCGGGCAGTGCCACCTGCAGACTCTGTCATAAAGTAGTCTGGAAACCATTTTGACTCTCTTTGAGTTTCTGGGACTAAGTGCCATTTCTGGGAACAACCAGGCAGGCAGAGTTCACAGGTCAGTTATGTCCTTTGAGAGCAAAGAGAGCCAGGTAGAGATGCTCAGAAGACAGAAGTGAAGGCCTTGGGGGAAGGCGTCCTGCAGCCCAGCACATTCGTCGCTGTCTGTGTTGCAGAAGCCTGACCTTACAGGATGCACAGAGCAAGGGAGTGCAGCCAGAGGAAAGACCTCAGAAACTCTCCAGGAGACAGCCAGTCCTCAGAAGCTGTAACTCTCCTCCTCCCTCCCCGGGCAAGAAGGCAGCAGCGAGAAGCTCTTGTAACTAAAGTCCATCTGTCTTAGCACAGGAATGAAGGATGCTCACACCCCAGCACATCCATCTTCCTTGACCACACTAAAGGCTTTGCATCCCTGGATGGCATCTCTGATGGGGTCAGAGGGATCTTCACAGGTTTGCTTCCTTTGGGACATTATGAATACGTTCCAAGGGGTATTTTTGTTTTTATGAGACAGGGTTTCTCTGTATTGTTTTGGAGGCTGTCGGTCCAGCCCAGCCTCGAACTCAGAGATCTGCCTGCCTCTGCCTCCCGAGTGCTAGGATTAAAGGCATGTGCCACCACCGCCTGGCGTCCCAAGGGTTTTTAATCAACCTTGCCCACAGCTTTCCTCTGAAAAACTTCTTTGCAACTCAACACTCTTGGTTATTTTTATTTGTATAGAGCTCAAAATTGGGTCTACACTAGAAAGAATAGATTTAAGTCATGGTCTGCTACATAAGAAATTAAGCGAGAAAGTGCCACAGGTCCTTAGAGAGAAGCAGTGCATCTCACAGCATGTGACCCCCACTTGAAGGAAATCAGCCTGCTTAAGAAGCTTGTTGAACCTAGCACCTCAAAGGCATTTAACCTCAGAAGGATCTCTCCAGAGCACATGAACAAATAGCCCGTTAGATTCCAAAGAATTAGAATTTTACAGCGCATCCCTGATAAGCAACGGCTTAGTCATTTCCCAAGAAGAAATAAGTTCATGGGTACTCTAATTTGCATCAAGCACTTGTGCTTTCTACAAAAATGATGTCAGCTAGTTTACAGGAGTTCTCTCACGTATCTCATTGAGGTAGCTTCACTACTTAAGTCTGCCTCTAAAACCCCAGTGATGCTGAGCAACTCCCAGGGGAACTTGAATTTTAAACAAATCTGAGGAAGGAACCCAGCAGTCTCCAGAGAAATGTGTCTTTATAGTTTAAAAGTATCTGGCACTTTGAGGACCTGATAAATGGTACATGGTTATTTGTGCCCCAGGGGAAACAATGGCATATTTCACATAGTTCATCTAATGCATAACATCAAAAAGGGCTCTGGTCTCCCCAAGTCCCAGGTGAAGAATCCCTGTGCACTAATGCATTGAAAACAACTTAAACCTTGTCAGTGATGGCCAGTGTGGCAACACTCTTGAAATCCTGAGGTGCCTTGAACATGGAGTATGCACGTCAATCACGCCTAGGTCAATGACTAGAGCCGATTTCCAGTGTCAGCTGCATCCCAGATACCAGACTTTTCTGGTTTTGCACTGGCTATGTCTTCCCAACCAAGTTCTATTTGTCGTCATGTGGTTTGGGGCTGCTCTTCAGTAAACCCTAGGTTTCCTTCTGAAATTGATGCTTTCAGTGATCTTACTTGAATTCCTGTCAAAGGAGCTTAGCCAATAGTGAGGGATTCTAGACAGACTGTGTTCACGGAAGAGAGAACATAATCTGAAGTATGGGTCAGGAGTTCCCCCCCAAATCCCACAAGCTTAAAACTAAGACAAGTCCTAAAGTCACTAACTAGCTGTGTAGTCATTGAAAAGTGACTCCACGCCTTCTATTTCTGAGCCATGAAATAACAAATACTCTTATTCCGTGTGCCCTGTCTCACAGTGCTCCTTGATGGACCAGTAACGCACCTGTAAGCACTTGGGAAACCGCAAGGCTCCGTGTGAGCAGGGAGGAAGGGTGGTGCTGATGGCTAACACCTATGACTGTTGTATGTAAGAATAGTTAACTGAAATAACTAAGACTAAAGGGCGGCACCTCAAATAGGGAGACTGGTTTTACGGCAAGCCACCAGCACTGGATGAGTTGTAGCGGAAAGCTGTGAGTCAGGGTTCCTACAACAAGTCAGAAGTCTGGGATTCACAGCCCTCACACGGGGGACTAGTTTCAGCTTTTCTTTTATGGAGTCGCTGCTAGGCTGTTGCAGTTCAATGCTTTTTGGTTTTGTTTTTGTTTTTTTGGTGGTGGTGGTGTGTTTTTTGAGACAGGGTTTCTCTGTGTGTCTTTGGAGCCTGTCCTGGAACTCACTCTGTAGACCAGGCTGATCTCATACTCATAGAGATCCCCCTGCCTCCATCTCGTGAGTGCTGGGATTAATAACATGCACCACCACCTCCCAGCCTAATGGCAGTTTTCCCCTCAGTTTTAAAGAAACAAAAAAAGGTTCTCACTAGCAGTCAGTTACCTGCTGTGCGTAACAAATAACAAGGTGAGTGTCCCCCTGATTCCAGCCTCCCTTCCACAAGCCCAGGCCACCTGTCACCTCTGCAGTTCCCTTTAGGAGCCACATCCAATCATGAAGCCATCCACACACCATGTGCAGCACAGGCCTACAGTCCCCAACACTTCAACACTATCCACAAACGCTAATGGCCTCCAACAGGAAGACTGTTGCTGTGTGCTCAGAAAGCTATTTGAGAATACAACTACGTGCGTTTGAACACTTCCTTAAAATGTTTACATAAGGATAAAAGTGAAATGGGGACCAGTTAGGAAGTATGGGAGTACGAAGGTGTCCTACAGGGAGAGCAAGGATAAAATCACCAAAGTCAGATTCATTGCCTGGAGACAGTGTCAGAGAGCTGGATACTAACAGCTCCAACCGGCCCCCATCTGCCATTGAGTATCCTAACCCCAGAGGCCGCTAGCAGGGACTCACATCACTTCTCTGTGAATTTACTGTTATTTCTTGAAAATGTTCTCTAAGTGACCATGTGCTCAGACAGGCCGTTTGTTTTGTTTTGTTTTTGATCAGCCAATCACATAGCACTCTGACAGCCCTGCCTCCCTCTCAGGACATCCTTCACTGAACTCATTACAAGGTGTAATTACGGACTGACTTGCTTCCTTCTCTATTCTGTCTGCCCTCTGTTATAATAAATAACATGCAAGTGCTTCAAGTCAGACCTTTTTATTTTGTTTTATTGTTCAGATTTTAGCTACCATGTATTCAATAGTTATTCATAAAGAAGTAAATCTTAAGCAGTAAATGTTAGCCAAGTAAATGAACAATTGACTAAATTGTTCTAGTCACGTCCCATGTTTAATTTCTTTATGAACCCTGTATGTCTCCTTCATATATACAAAAAGACATGCTAACAATGTCTATATTTTCCTCATTTAATATGCCTTTTGTTTCAAGATTGTGTTTCAATTAAGAACTGATGAGGGCTGAGTAGAAATTTATCCCCCTACACACCACAATTCCTAAGAGTCTGGCTTGAGCCAGTAGCTAGGGAGAGACTATGAGCCAGATTCTTCTGAGGAAACTAGCGACTCACCAGAGCCCCGATCACCATCCTTTGTCCCAGGCTGTACATGTGGATGCACTACTTTCAGTTCTCCAGGTGGCATGAAGGATGGGTTGAGGTTAATTCTAGCCATGTCCTTCCCAGTGTGTTTGCTGGCTATCCAAATCGCCTTCTTTTTCAATGTTGAATAGAAGATATGGTCACCAAAAAGAGCCACTGTAAACAAATTGTGCCTAAAAACACCCAGAAAAAAAGGGAGGGGTTAATGACAAACATGTATGACTTGAATTTTTTTTTTTTACGAGACAGGGTTTCTCTGCATTGTTTTGGAGGCTGTCGGTCCAATGACTTGAATTTTTAAAGCTGAATTCCTCACTTGGAAATTTTCTGTTTGTTTGAATTTCAGTCATCTCTCTTTTCTGACTTTGGCCTAGACAAACATACTTTAGGTTTAAAATTTGGTTTATATCATCATACTTGGAAGTAATAGGATACAGTCTCGAGGGACACCTTCCTTCTCGTTCTCCTGTCACACACAAGCGGGAGGAAGATGGAGAAGAAACCAGGAGTACGGTGTGGATAGAGTGCTGTTTTTTTTTTTTTTTTGATAGCTGCACACCAGGCTAAGTTTTGCCTCTTCCACTAACTGTCTCCAGAGCAAGTTTCACAAGAGACAATGCTTCACAAATAAATTGCAAAATGATGGAGAAGGGCAAGTTCAACTGACACGTGGAAGCTTATCATATGCTACACACGTTGCTAATTATTATTCGCGTATATTGATTTACTTAGTCTTCACAATGACGCCAAAAAACAGGCGCTATTACTATATCCACATGGAGGAAACCTGACTACAGGAAACATTAACTAACTTGCCCAAAGTCACTCACCAGTAATTAATTGATGACTCTGTGTGTAAACTAGTATACCCCTTTAGTTGACAAGATAAAATTAATTTATCGCACCAGCTTCAACTTGCAACTGTTTTTGCTACATATCAAAAGCAAAACTTACTGCGGTTGATGTTTGAGAAGATGGATGGAGCCACCATCATAATCACAGGAATGAATGTGAACATGTCTTCCTTCTTCGCTGTCCTGAACCCAAAAGAGGCGCTTGTCAAGTATGTCCAGAGTCAGTACTGCTATCCTCTCTGGTGTCTCCAGCAGCATTTTCACCTCTAACCCACTGAGATCTGCTCTGTGAAGGCTGCCGGCCACCTCAGAAGACCAAAATATCAACCTGGGGATGAACAACACATCATGTACAGCCATAACCGAATGAACAGTCACTAAAGTGGGGACTCATCCTGCCTTTGGTCCCTGCCCAAGGAAGAGTCTGAATGAGAATTCAGACATGTGTATATAGTTCCTATTGGAAAAGCCATGTGATTTCAAGGGTGGGGGAGAAAACTAAGCTTTTAGAGCACAACATTGGGCAGGTAGAATTGCCCCGGAGGACCAAGCAACCAGGAGCCTGCTGAGAAGGTTGGGCAGCTCCCAACGCCACTCAGGGCAGAGGTGAGCTCTGGGTCCCACCTCAGGCCCCACTTGTGCTTGCCCACTCTGGGATCTCCTGGCCTGGGGACTGCAGGCAGGTCAAATCACCCCTGGTGGATCAAGCAACCTTGAGCCTGTTGACTGCACTGTGTGAATGCAGCTCCCACCCATCGGGTCTGGGAGTGCTTCAGACCTGCCTGCACCCACCATGAGAACCAGCAGAGTATTGGACATGCTTGCACACACCAGAAGATAATATTGGGTCCATACCCACCAGGAGAGGAAGAGACCCCACCTATACCCACTTGAAGAAGGGATGGGAAGACAACAATATAAGAACACATTCAACAACAGAAATGATGCCACCAGAGTCTAGGGACCCTACACAAGACTTGAATATCCCAACACAGATAAAGCAGAAGAAAATAAGCTTAAAAACAACTTCATGAAGATGATAGAGACCCTAAAAGAGGAAATGAGAAAATCCTTTAAAGAAATGGAAGAAAAGACAAACCAAAAACTGCTAGAAACAATTCAAACACTGCAAGTTTTGAAAGCTGAAACAGAGACAATTAAAAAAAACCCACAGTATGTAGGATTTCTGGAATTAGAAAAGGTAGGTAAATGATCATGAACTACAGATGGAAGCATTACCAACAGAATATAAGAGTTGGAAGAGAGAATCTCAGGCGTTGAAGATACACTAGGAGAAATAGATTCATCTACCAAAGAAAATCTTAAGTCCAACAAATCCCTAACACAAAATATCCAGGAAATATGGGACATCATGAAAAGGTCAACCCTAAGAATAACAGGGATAGAAGAAGGTGAAGAAACCCAACTCAAAGGTGCAGAAAATATATACAACAAAACCATAGAAGAAACTTTCCCAACCTAAAGAAAGACATGCCAATGAAAATACAAGAAGCCTAAAGAACACCAGATAGAGTGAACCACAATAAAAGTCCCTTCGGCACATATTAATTAAAACACAAAACATACAGAATAAAGAAAGAATATTAAGAGCAGCAAAGGAAAAAGGCCAAGTAACATATAAAGGCAAATCTATCAGAATTATACCTGACTTCTCCATGGAAACTCTGAAAGCCAGAAGGTCCTGGATATATATTCTACCATCACTAAGAGACCACGGATGCCAACCCAGACTACTATTAGACTTCAAACTAAAATTAATCAAAAGAGATGAAGAAGGTCTTTGCATATTCATCACAGGAAAAATCCATCAGGAAGAAGTATCAATTCTGAACATCTATGCCCCAAATGCAAAGGAACCCACGTCCATAAAAGAAACATTACTAAAACACAAATCACACTTAAGAACTCACACAGTTATAGTGGGAGACTTTAACACCCCACTCCCACCACTAGACAGTACCACCAGACAGAAACATAACAAAGAAGCAAAGGAACTAGCAGAAGTTATGACCCAATTTGAGTTAACAGACATCTATAGAACATTCCATCCAAACCCAAAAGAATACACCTTCTTCTCAGCGCCATATGGGAGCATCTCTAAAATCAACCACATACGTGGCAACATAGAAAACCTCAATAGGTACAAAAAATTGGAATAATCCCCTGTATCTTTACATGCTTTAAAGTTAGAATTCAACAACAACACAAATTGCAGAAACCCTAAAAATTCTGGAAATTGAACAATGAGCAATTGCACCACTCCTGGGTCAAGGAAGAAATTAAAAAAAAAAGAAATTAAAGATTTCCTAGAATTCAATGAGAATGAAGACACAACATACTCAAACTTATGGAGTACTTTGAAAGCAGTATTAAGAGGAAAGTTTATACCACTAAGTGCTCACATGAAGAAACTGGAGAGTAGACACACTCAAGAATTAACAGCACAACTGAAAGCTCTAGAACACAAAGAAGCAAACCCACCCAGGAGGAGTAGACTCCAGGAAATAATCAAATCGAGGGCTGAAATAAATAAAGTAGAAACTAGGAAAACAATACAAGGAATCAATGTAATGAAGAGTTGGTTCTTTGAGAAAATCAGAAAGATAGTCAAACCTTTATCCAAACTAATCAAAAGGCAGGGAACATGCAAATTAACAAAATCAGGAATGAAAAGGTGGACATAACAAGGGACACTGAGGAAATCCAGAAAACCTTCAGGTCATACGTTGAAAACCTGTACTCCACAGAATTAAAAAATTTAAAGTAAATGGACAATTTTCTAGATAGATGTTACTTACCAAAGTCAAGAACAGATAAGCAATTTAAATAGACATATGACCCCTAAAGAAATAGAAGCAGTCATAAAAAGTCTCCCAACAAAAAAAAAAAGCCCAGGCCTGATGGGCTCAGTGCAGAATTCTACCAGAAATTCAAAGAAGAGCTAACCCCAACACACCTCAAACTGTTCCACACAATAGAAGCAAAAGGTTCATTGCCAAACTCTTTTTACAAGGCTACAATTATCTTGGTACCCAAGCCACACGAAGACACAACTAAGAAAGACAACTACAGACCAATATCCTTCATAAACATTGATGCAAAAATACTCAATAAAATACTAGCAAATAGGATCCAAGAACACATCAGAAAAATCATCCACCATGATCAAGTAGGCTTCATTCCAGGGATTCAGGGATGGCTCAACATATGAAAAACTATCAATGTAATCCACCATATAAACAAACTGCTAAAGAAAAATCACATGATCACTAGATGCTGAAAAGGTCTTTGACAAAATCCAACACCCCTTCATGATAAGGGTCCTGGAGAGATCAGGGATAACAGGAACATACCTGAACCTAATAAGAGCAATATACAGTAAACAAGCAGCCAACATCAAACTAAATGGAGAGAAACGCAACACGATTCCTCTAAACTCAGGAACAAGACAAGGCTGTCCGCTCTCTCCATACCTCTTCTATATTGTACTTGAAGTTCTAGCTAGAGCAATAAGACAACAAAAGGAGATCAAGGGGGTACAAATTGGAAAGGAAGAAATCAAACATTCACTATTTCTAGATGATATGATAGTTTGCATACGTGACCTAAAAAAATTCTACATGGGAACTCCTACAGCTGATAAAAACCTTCAGCAAAGTGGCAGGATACAAGATTAACTAAAAAAAAATCAGTAGCCCTACTATATACAGATGATAAATGGGCTGAGAAAGAAATCAGAGAAACATCACCCTTTACAATATCCACAAATAACATAAAATATCTTGTGGTAATGCTAACTAAACAAGGGAAAGACCTATATGGCAAAACTTTAAGTCTTTAAAGAAAGAAATTAAAGAAGACACCAGAAAATGGAAAGATCTCCCATGCTCTTGGATAGGTAAGATCAACATAGTAAAAATGGCAATCTTGCCAAAAGCAATCTACAGATTCAATGCAATCCCCATCAAAATCCCAGCACAATTCTTCACAGACCTTGAAAGAACAATAATCAACTATATATGGGAAAACAAAAGACCCAGGATAGCCAAAACAACCCTGTACAATAAAGGAACTTTCAGAGGCATCACCATCCCTGACTTCAAGCTCTACTATAGAGCTATAGAAATGAAAACATCTGGGTATTGGCAAAAAATAGACAAGTAGACCAATGGAATTAATTTGAAAACCCTGATATTAACCCACACACTTACGAATGCCTGATCTTTGACAAAGGAGCTAAAAGTATACAATGGAAAAAAAGAAAGTATCTCCAACAAATGGTGCTGGCATAACTGGATCTGGCATGTAGAAGACTGCAGATATATTTATGTCTATCGTCATGCACAAAACTTAACTCCAAATGAACCAAAGACCTCAACATAAATCCAGCCACACCGAACCTGTTAGAAGAGAAAGTGGGAGGTACCCTTGAACGAATTGATACAGGAGACTGCTTCCTGAACATAATACCAGTGGCACAGACACTGAGATCGACATAAATTGGGCCTCCTGAAACTGAGAAGTTTCTGTAAGGCAAAAGACACAGTCAACAAGACAAAAAGGTGGCCCACAGAATGGGAAAAGATATTCACTAATCCTACATCTGACAGAGGACTGATCTCCAAAATTTACCAAGGACTCAAGAAGTCTCCAAACACCAAAGGATTCAATTAAAAAGTGGGACACAGAAGTTAATAGACAATTCTCAATAGAGGAGTCTAAAATGGCTGAACACTCTTAAGAAAGTGTTCAACATCCTTAGCCATCAAGGAATTGCAAATAAAAACAACTCTGAGATACCATCTTACTCCTGTCAGAATGGCTAAAATCAAAAACACTAGTAACAGTTTATGCTGGAGAAGATGTAGAGAAAAGGAAACACTCCTCCATTGCTGGTGGGAGTGCCAACTCATACAGTCACTTTGGAAATCAGTGTGAAGATTCCTCAGGAAAATGGGAATGGTCTACCACAAGATCCAGCAGTTCTACTCTTAGGCATATACCCAAAAGATGCACATTCTTAAAAGAACATCTGTTCAACCATGTTCATAGCAGCATTATTTGTAATAGTCAGAACCTGGAAGCAACCTAGATGCCCCTCAACTGAAGAGTGAATAGAGAAAATGTGGTACATTTACACAATGGAGTACTATTCAGCAGAAAAAAAATCATTGGAATCTTGAAATTTGCAGGCAAATGGATAGCACTAGAAGAAACCATCCTGAGTAAGCCAGTCACAGAAAGACAGACATGGTATGTACACACTCGCATATGGATTTTAGACATGAATCAAGGGAGTGCCAGCCTACAATCCCACTGCCAGAGAGTCTGGGAAACATGGAGAACCCTAAGAGAGATATGCATGGTACCCTGGAGAAGGGGAATGGGACAGGATCTCCTTAGTGGATTGGGAGCTTGAGGGGAGGGGAGAGGGAGCTGGGAGAAAGACAGGGTGAGAAGAGGAGGGGAGAGGAGGACATGGGGGAGCAGAAAGGTTGAGTCAGGGGGAAGAATAGAGGAGAGCTCGATGAGAGATACCATAATAGAGGGAGCTATTATGGTTTGAGGAGAGATCTGGCACTAGTGATATTTCCAGAGATCTACAAGGATGACACCAACTGGCAATCTAAGCAATAGTGGAGAGGCTACCTTAAATCCCCTTCCCCAATAATGAGATTGACAACTACCTTATACGCTATCCTAGAACCTCCATCCAGTGTCTGATGGAAGCAGAGGAAGACAACCACAGGTAAACACTGAACTGAACTCCTGGAACCCAGTTGCAGAGAGGGAGGAGTGATAAGCAAAGGGGTCAAAACCGGGGTGGTGAAACCCACAGAAACAGCTGACCTGAACAAGGGGGAGCTCATGGACCCCAGACTGATGGCTGAGAGGCCAGCATGGGACTGATTCAGACCCCCCAAATTTGGGTGACAATGAGGATGCTTCGGTAATCTATGGGGCCTTAGGTAGTAGATCAGTAATTATCCTCGGCATACGAATGGACTTTGGGATCTCATTCCACATGGAGGGATGCTCTCTCAGCCTGGACACATGGGGAAGGGCCTAGACCCTGCCCAGGATGATATTACAGAGTTTGGAGATCCCCCATGGAGGACCTCACCCTCCCTGGGGAGCAGAGTGGGGATTGGGTGGGGGGCTGGGAGGCTGAGGGTAGGAGGGGAGGGAGGAGGAGCTGTGATTGACATGTGAAGTAAGCTTGTTTCTGGTTTCTGATTTAAATAAAAAAATACATCATAGGAAAACAACCAAACAAACAAGCAAACAGGATGTACCTCTCTATTGGATCCACTGCTACATTTCCTGGCCGTTGTAAGGAACTCAGAAGAACGTGGGAACTGTTGCCTTTTATGTCTGTCACAGTGATGATCCCTTCCTGTTGATGTGCCCAGAGAATCTCTTCATCTACCCAGTTTATGGCCATCCCAGAAACATTCTTCTCTACATGGCACACTGTCTGCAAAACCAAATTCCTGTATTATAAATATTCACAATTCACAACGAAATCAGTCTGCTGTTGCACATATAGTCTGTCATTTTCAGTATTTGCCATTTTAATGCATTCCCACATAAATGATAAAATAGTCACAATGATTCAGCAACGGCATACCCCTCCCTGTGAGTAGGCTTTTTATATTATAGCTTTGGGATAACAAATTATCCTATATACTATTGAAATTAGGAGATCAGCCACATATATTTAATAGCTTCACAGTTTTTTTAGTGCTTAAAGGCAGTTTATCCAATTCTCCTTGGTAATGGGATCCTAACCTGAATTCAGCTTTAGAGGTAATGGGGTCCTAACCTGAATTCATGTCTTTCTAAACTCTGGTAAGATTCCCTTGGATTTTGAACAGAGTCATGGAGTGGACTCCCCACCCTCTTTTGGAACAGGCTCTCATGGAGTCCAGACTGGCTTGGAATTCTTTATGTACTTTGGATGACCTTGAACTCCATATCCTTCTGTTTCTTGAGTGCCAGGATTACAGGCCGGTACCACCTCGCCTAGTTTATGCACTTCTGGGGATCAAACCCAGGGTTTTCTGTGTTGCCGACAACCGAGCTATAGCCACAGTCTCTAGAAGCAGTCTTGTTATGGAACCCCGTTTTCTTTCACCTCCTCGCCCTTTTTCCATCAAATTCCTTTCTTCTCGCAAATTTCGACGACATCAGAGAAGCAGGGTTTCTCTTTGTACATCTTGGGCTGACCCTTGCATTTTCTTGAAAGAATCAACAAAAGAATCTGTATCTGTGAGTCCAACCTGGGCGAGTCAGCTAGTCCTCTTGGGGCTTGGAAGGCTCTAAGTAGAGGAAGACTTGGCTCCACCCTGCCCCAGGTTCCCGTGCTGTCATAACTGTATGGATGCAATTCCAACTCCCTGCAGAACATCGCCAAGCTGGAGGCTCGGTAGAGACAGCATAGAGCTCAGAGCCGTCCAGTGAAGCCCTTTAACAAAAGCTGCATTCTCACTTGAGTTTGAATCGCTATCACGTTAGCACGTGCTGCTTGCTGTCTGTGCATTGCCTTAAACACAGGAGCGGGGATAAGGGCGAGCTCTTAGACATCAGGCCAATCCCTTCCCAAGGATGTGATATAAATCCACGAATGTTTATGCTTTTTTTCCTAGTTTGGTGACAGGGAGCGTCCACATTCTCAGATTTCCACGCTGTTCTAGCAGATGGCTGGAGAGTATGGCACAGTCAAACTTGTTAAAGTGAGGCTAGCCAGTTCTAGAGAGGAACTAAAACAGATTTGCACCTATTCGAAGCTTTTAGGAATAATTGGAAGGAGAGAGGGTTGGCTTGGAAGAAAAAAGAAACCCAAACAATGAGCCCTTTGTGTTGGGAATAAATGCTTGAGGTTCCGCTAATCACCTGTTCTGGGTAATCCATCTCTAACACACATTCCTCCTGGGACTCACTGCCCGGTTCTACCAGTGGAAGAAAAAGATTAAGGGTCTTTTGTATGTACTTGAAATACAGCATGTTTTATCTGTCCTTGGCCTCATTTTTTCCCCAGAGTACAAATACTTTGCGAATACAAGGGGAAATTTTTTTCTGCCTAAATGTCAGGCATTTTTTCCCCTTACATGAGAAAAAAAACTCATACAGATAAAACAGACATTCTTGCCCTCAGCACTATTGACACATGAAGTTAGACAGTGCCTCACTGTGGTGCTGTCCCACAGAGGGCAGGACGTTGAGTGACAGCCTTGGCCTGTGCCAGCCAGATGCCTGTAGCATCTTTACCTCCTATCTTATTCATGTGTGACAACCAAAAGGACGCCTGCCAAATATTCATAGAGGGACAAAACTGAGGTACAAAATTAACATGCACAGAATGTCTTCACGGTGACTGACTTATAAAATCAGATGTTTTCAAAATTACATTTATTTCCTCATGTTCTTCTTTTAGATGCTTGCAAACAACAATTTGTAAGTTTAACCAGTAGTACAGAAACACAGAGGCAGATGAAAAGCTTGTATTTAACACATAAACATTTGAACCATAATGTACTTTCATTTATCTTCCCATACAAGTTCTAAGTACTGGTTAGCCCATAAGATTAGGCCCATTCAGAGTGGTACAACCTTAGACAAATGGTCCACACATTAAAAATTCAATATGTCACATTTGTATAAATTCCTCACATACCATGGGTGATAATGGTACTTTACCTCCTGTCTTGACCCATTAAGAAAAACTCTTTGTAAAAGTTGTCTTTCTAAATCCACCCAATAGAGTCTCTCCTCCTTGTAATGAAAATCCATGATCACCGAGCTGCCAGCATCCACCACCAATTGCTGGTGATTTGTTCCTTCTGGGTCAATCCGAGAGATATTGTTTCCATGTGAGAAAATTAGGAAGGGCGCAGGATCTAAGGGGAGAAAGAAATCAACTTGTAGATTTTCAGCGATATTTAATCTGGTCCATATAAAATGCTTTCCTTGACAATATATGCAGTTAATTCTGCGTATATTGTATGTATATTATATACGTTTGTTATACATATTGCAGTTAATTCTATATATACTTAAATTTCTAGTCTCATATATTAGATGAAACTATTCTAAACAGAATAAGGGTTTCCTGTAGGTTCCTACTAACCATATTGTATATATTCTACTAATGTACATTTAATATACATGAAAAGAAACAAGGCATGGTTTTCTATCATAGAAAGAAAGTCTGTATGAATGTTGGATTTAGTTATGCAAACTGGGTTGCTGTGTCTAAAATGCCTGATTGGGTTTTCAGTGGATCACTGTGTCAGAGCAATCAGAGCCATTGTGGTGCAGAGGGAAGGCTAGTGCATCTCTGTTCACAGCAGCAAGAGTATGTGGAGAAGGGTGTCCATGGCATAGTAGACCAGAAGGCCCAGAGTGTGACGGAAACAAGGGACTGACTGTGACCCTGGTTACCAGCTTCGGCCAGTCAGGCCATGCTTCCTAAAGGTTCCACAGTCCCCCAAATACTACAGACCTTGAGGACCAACCACTCAAAGCATGAGCCTACAGGGAACATTCCAGATTCAAACCATAACAATTACAAATACTATTGTGGCAGTAGATGTTCTTTCTTCTAGCTTCACCATGTGGCCAGAGCCATCAAGTAACGACACAGAATATGGCAGAAAGCAGAAGGGAGTCCTAAGTGGAAGCAGAAAATTGGAATGCTGGCTTCCAAGTGTCAGGAAACAGTGTGATGGTGAGGCCAAGTTAGGCCAAGTTAGAGCAATGTGAGTATTCGGGGGAAGTGAGGTGATTGGCTTCTTGTTCCCAGGAGAGTCTGTGAGGAAACAGCAAGCAGGCAGGCTCAGGGGTGGGCATCTAGACAGGACCAATATGAGAAAGAGGAGAACCCAGGGGCCCTATAAAGTACCCAGCCTTGAACTTTTTCCATCCTGAGTGTCTAAAGCTATCGTTTGCCCTTTTTGGGGGTCTTCTGTCTTTCCCTGTCATTCAATTCTTTGTTCATGCCAAGGAACAAATTCAGTATTCCCCTAGAAAACTACTGCTAACCCCATTACAGACAGGCTACAGTATCCATAAAATACAGGATGGCAACTTAAATTTGAATTTAAAGATTGAAATTCTCCATTATAAAATTCTGACATTCCAAATGCTCCAAACATCATAAGTGGGAAATTCAATACCTGATCACATAAGTAGACTAAAAATTTTGTATAAGGTCATCTTGTATAAGGCTACATGTATGAGTGAGGTCTACCTATAGACTTGGATGTTATTTCCCATATATTTCATTATATATGTGCAAATCTTTCAAAAATCACAAAGATTCTAAAACATTCCTGACCCCAAGTCACTTTTAAGTATAAGACCAATCTAAATGTTATACATGCTCTCAAAAGTCAGTCTCCATTTAAGTGGAATTAATTTCAGTGGGGATATCTAGTTACTAGATCTTAGCAGTAGACCTCGCTGGGTCCAGCAGCACCTTGCTCTGAGCTCTAACCCCTTGCATGGAGCTCTTCTCTACTTAGAGCATGGCCACCTGACACTTTCACTTCCTACCTCTCAGCATCTGCGTGGGAACCCAGCGCCTTCTTTGGAAACCTCAGTGTGAGTTGCTGGATGAGTTTGTCTTTTACATGCTGAAGTGAATTGGGGGACAGCCTTGACTGAGGCTGGTTCCTTGGTCTCTCCTGACCAGAAGGGAGCAGGTTGCTACCACCCTGCATTTAGAAAATCATGGAACTCCTGAGATGAGGAGACAAACAGATGACAAGTCTAACATTTTTGCGACCTTTATTGCTGGCCTTGTTTTATTCTGTCTGACTCTTAAGCCTTCACACTGTACTGGAGTTTAATAAATGACTTCATTGTCTAAGGATATGATGGATTAGTAGGCTCTAACTCTGGGGCCCAGGTTTAAAGCTAGAATGCATTGGCTGCATTTCAGCGGATGCATCACCATAGAGATACAGGAGGAATGAAGGAGTATCAGGTCGGGAGAATTTGAAATTTTGTTTCTACAGATGTCTAAGAGAACAAACTCCAAGCCTTTCCCAGTAACTTTATGTCAATACCAGCCCCTTGCACAGAGGGGAACGGTCCATGCTTGGTTACCACTGAAGCTGTAATAGCCCTGAGACACCATCAAAAGCCTGGAAAAGGTACTGTGCAATGCTGAATTTTCATTGTCCTCTTGACTGGATTAAGAAATACCTTGGAGGTAAGTTTAGCATACTCCTGACTGGGTTGTGCAAGTCCATTTCTTGAGACAGTAGCTTAACCAATGGATTAGACTCTCAATGGACATCTCATGATTAGGAGGCAGCGGCAATAGAAAGTGGGGTCTGCTTGGTGGAAATGGGACATTAGGGGTACATCACTGAGCATCATGGAGCCCTGGGCTCTTCCTCTATTGCCATTTCTACTTCCTGCCAGGAGAACAGTTCCTGCCATGTGTTCCTGCTGTCATGATGCTCTGCCTCATGGTGGATCCTAAAACACACAGCAAGCAAGCATGGACTGAAACCTCTGAGCCTATGACCCAAATAAATCCTCTCTCCTGCAGAGGTGTTCTGGACACAGCCTCACTAACATGTCTACCCTCTCACGCTTGCTGGCAAGGCTCTCTGAACGTCTCACAGAAGTTCTCCTGCCTATGGGATGATTAGAGGAAGGCAAACAAAGGCACACATGAGAAGACACTGCATTAATGACTCAGGACCACATTCGGGAACTTTCTGCCATGCGTTCCCGCAGCCCAGGCTTTGCTGCGTAGGTTTGTGCCACTATCTCAATGGGAAGCCAAGGACTAGAATGCTGGCCCAACTTATTTCATAGGGGAAAGGCAGCCTAAGCTTAGAGCTGCTAACTTGTGGACCACAAAGGGATACAGGCCTGTGGATTCCTTGACAAAGGTCTTCTCATGTGCATGAGGCATGACTTTTCTAGAAATGACAGTTTATCAAGCACATCTGACCAATTTTTAATGCAAGGGTATACTGATATGTTCAATAAAATGTTGCATTTACTTATGTTACTACATAGATAGTTCACAGGTTGGAAGGGGGGCATTCTAAGCATTTTAATATTCCTCACCCCAGATTGTAATCTGACTCTTTGCATACAGTAGGTGTGCAAAATAGGCTTTGAGTGAATTAATTAATTAATGAAGACACAGGGGCTGGAGAAATAGCTCAGTGGCTAAGGGTACTGATTGCTCTCCTGGGAACCTGGAACAGTTCTGCTCCAATTACCCACATGGTAGCTCACGACTATCTGTAACTCCAGTTCCAGTGCCCTTTTCTGGCCTTTGTGGACATTGCATGAATGTGATACATGGATGTACATACAGGTAACACACACATATAAAACACGTTATAAAAAATCAAGAAATAGCCAGGCGTTGGTGGCGCATGCCTTTAGTCTCAGCACTCGGGATGCAGAGGCAGGCGGATCTCTGTGAGTTCAAGGCCAGCCTGGTATACCAAGTGAGTTCCAGGACAGCCTCCAAAACAACACAGAGAAACCCTGTATCAAAAAGCCAAACAAAATCAAGAAATCATTGTATTTTATTTATTTGTCTGCAATTTTTTAGTAGACATAGAGACTAGTAGATATATCAGATTTATATAAGCATGGTTCAGCATATGACAGTTATTTTAATGACAATACAATAATAGCAAATTTTCACATCATGGTTGTATTTATCCTCACATGATACCATGAACCAGACAGAGTAGCTATTCTACCAGTTAGTTTTTGTCAACTTGAGGCAAACTAGAGTCTCCTGGGAAGAGAAAACCTCAATTGAGTCGTTGCCTTCATCAGATTGCCCTATGTGCATGTCTGTGGGGAATTTTCTTAGTTGGTGATGTGGGACTGTTCAGTCTACTGAGGGCAGTGCCACCCCTGGACTGGATGGAACTTGGTTATATAAGAAAGTAACCTGAGTAAGCCATGAAGAGCAAGCCAGTAAGCAGCACTCCTCCAAGGTTTCTGATTCAGTTCCTGTCTCCAGGTTCCTGCCTTAGCTTCCCACGAACTGCAATGTGGAAATTATAAGCCATATAAACCCTTTCCTCCCTAAGTTACTTTTGGTCGTGGTGATTTTCACAGAAGCAGAAACCCAGATAAAGCAGGATTTAATAAACAAATAAAAAAGAGAAATCTCACAAACATGTAATTCATAAAAACACAAATCATAACATTATCTTATATTTCAAAATACAGAAAAAATGTTAAAACAGTAAAATGAGTTTGGATAACTAATATTTTACCCTCTTATTTTGCCCATCAAAAGATGAAAACCCAGGGATTTTTATCTCTTAGAAGTGGGATACACTAGCCAGGTTTGGTGGCACAAGTCTGTAAACCAGCTGGAGCCAGAAGCAGGGAAATCACAAGTTCAAGACGTGCTTGGGAAACAAAGTGAGTTCAGGACCAGCCTGAGAACTTGTTTCAGAATAAAAAGTAGAAAAGAGGCCTGGGCTCTGTCTCTGTGATAAAGTGTTTGCCTCGAATGTGTGATATCCTAGGTTCAATTCCTAGCACTGAGGGGGGAAATATTTAAATGGGAGACTCTTCACCTAGTACCTAGATAATACCTAGCCTTTTCCAATTTGTCTATTCAACCACACTCCCTCTCTTCCCTCCTTCGCCCTTCTCTCTCCTCCCCACGCTCCTGTGTTTGTAAATGTACACGTGTGTGCCACTGGCTGACCCAAGTGTGGCCAATCCATGTTTTAAACAGACACTGCAGACGACTTTCATATCTTAATGACCTTGGAAAGCTTGAGTCAATTAGGAGGAAACTGAGTGATGTTTCCCAGAGTCCCACCACTGCTAGTTCATAGCAGAGCTAGAACCAGTGTGTGCAGGTGGTCCTTTTGCCCATGGCTCTCTC